AATCAGGTTTTGGTCTTAAAAAGTATGAAGATAAGGGAAATTTGGACAACAAAGTACATAAACGGGCTGGTTAGGGCACGGCAAATTGTTCTGTGAAGGTTTCGGAACAATTGGACCAGCCGTTAAGGAGTTAGAATTTCGGCCAGGTTTCCGGCCTTTTCCCATGGTTTGCAATTTGCCCTGGAAGCCAATATCGATTTTTCTATCAAAACCCACGATTTATCTTTTCCTTTCTGGCCTTGTGGTTATGGATGCTGTCTGCTGACCATGAAGTTGTGAGTTCAAATCCCAACCTTTCTTCAACTCACACTTTTTTTCATTGTTTTTTGGTGATCAAGCAGACTTGTTGTTGTTCACGGTTGTTGTTAGCTCCCGCTTCCTCCCGAACTGACTGACACTTGACTGGCTCACGCCATGTGAACACACCCACAACACTGAAACGGTGTGAGTGAATATGGAAGTCATTGCGCTGTAGCTACGTGTTGAATACACCGGCATGTGCGCACATCGATCGATCGATTTCTTTTTGAGAATTATTTAGTATTTCAAGATCGCCAATTTATTTGAATTTAGAAGTCAACGCCGTCTTCTATCAGCTTCCACAGGCGTCTGCTTTTCTCAAAATGTTGTTGAAGTCATACGGATAGCTTCGCCAAGTCATGGCCTTGGGAATGAGTCTGTGTCGATGTCGTTTTCGTCACATGGTGAGAGTAAACTGCATCGCAGCTCAAAGAAACTATTTGGTCACAAAACATATTGGGACCCATGCCGCTCGTCAGCCTCGGCATTTACTACACTTTCGACATGTCCTCTCTGACTCCATAATCGATACGAGGAAGAACTCGTTTGTTGTGAACCAGACGTACACGACTGTACCGACATCGACCTGAGTTGTCATTTTTCATGCTTTCGCGCGGAATATTTCTTCGAGTTCACAGTGAGTTTTTCCAGGCAGCGCTCGAGCGCTCATACGGTAAGACGGCAAACTCCCCGGGCGATCACCAGGATTGCTAATCTTTTTGAAACTGACTGTAACCGTCGGTAAGCTTGTGTTTGGATCCCGTTCTGCTCGATGTGGTAGATCACAAACAATTTGATATCGCACAAATTGATCTCAGCATCGTGCGTATGGTATTTTATATTCAGAAAATCCCAAAGTGTCTCTGTGTGGCCGTCCTATGCCACGAGAAACTCCAATCAGGCTCCTATGTCCTCTGCCTTCATGATTGAATGTCCACTTCGTTTGAACAACGAACACAACAATCGAGGACGACTTTGCAATGAAAAATACAGCTATACTAGAGCTGAAAAAAGAAGAAAAAAACGGGCTCAGGATGAGACTCGAGTACACGCATACTCTCCCAGCAGGTGAAACGCAAATTTTTGTGAAAAATGCGTGACGCCGACTGACCGGTAATTTCGCCTGACGAAAGACGAAATCCCATTAACTGCATCCATGTTGCCCACGTGCCAGGCCACGAGTTCCCAATTGACTGTGGGTCACAGCACGGCTGGAAAAATTCCTTCCGCTTCAAAGCAGGAAGCTTCCAAGTGAGACTTAAGGTTCCATAATATGAGTATGACTTGCACGACACAACACAATGAAAGAAGAATCTGAGTATTATTATTATTATTATTTCACCGTCCAATGGCAGAAGCCAATGCGAAGGAGGGGGCGTTAGCCAGCCATGGCAAGAGAAGAAAAAAAAAGGAGAAAGAATGAAGGAAAGAAGATGATAATCGGAAGAAAATAATGCATCAGGGGGTGAAATGTATCACTATGTTGACCAGGGTGGAGAGCGGCGAGATAAGCTAGCAAAAGAGGCGAGCGAGCCTACAACGTGGCATGACATTTAACATGGTCTATGAACTGTCTAATAAGTAATATTGGATATTGTCTTCATTTCTATGGGCAGCTTGAGCCAATACGAGTATGCAGAGAAGATAGGAGATTTGGTAAACATAGTTGACAAAGCTCTGGGAAGTACTATGCCATTGCGAGTGTCCCGTGCGAAAGTAAACCAATTATACTTGGTGAGATGTTCAGGGACAATGTTCAGTTTAATACGATGGACCAGAACGCATGACTGTCTCTGCGACAGGATAGAGATGGGGCTGGTGGAGGCCAAACTATATAGATCAGTAGAGGGGAAAAGAGTGGGTTTACGAAAAATAATTTTCAACACACGTTTATGATGTATTTCTAGTGTCTGTACAGCAGATTTACTAAGCAGGGAATGCCAAGCAGTGGCGCCATACAGAAAGATAGGAAGGAGGTAGCATTTATAAAAGAGACGAATACATTCGGGAGACAAGTGGGAGCAGTGAGACATCAGGCAACCTACAGATTTGCTAACTTTGTTGCATACAAAATCTACGTGAGAATTCCAGGACAATTGCGAGTCAAATACAACACCCAAATGCCTGTGCGTATCTACAATAGTAATATTAATAGCCGAATCAAGTCCGGGAAGGGTAAATGTAGGAGGGTGGTCTATTTGAGGGAGAAAGACTATTTCTGTTTTCAAGATATTGGGTTTCAGACGCCATGACAACATCCATTCATGAACAACATTGATTCCAGTCTAAAGCTTCGTACACAGGTTTGCAATGTCAGCGTCAAACTGAATGAGGGCTGTGTCATCAGCAAATAGTGACAAACCATCTATACAGTCAGGTAGATCGTTTATATACAACAAGAATAGTAGAGGCCCCAGTATAGATCCCTGGGGGACTCCCGACTTCACAGGCAGTGGGTCTGAGAGTACCCCTTCGACTGACACTGATTGCGTTCTATCTGTTAGGTAGTCCGTAATCCACGCCAGAGACGCTCCGGAAACATTGTACATCGCAGATAATTTAGCTAGGAGTCCACGGAACCATACCGTGTCAAACGCCTTGGCTAGGTCGAAAAAACACATGCCAACATGTTGGTGGTCATGACGAAGGGCCACAATGTCCTGCACAAGGCGTGTCAGCTGCATGGTGGTTGAGTCTCCTCTTTGAAAACCAGATTGGACTGGGGCAAGGGCCGGCGACACATGAGCATAAAGCTTATCAAAGAATAATCGCTCACACAGTTTCGATACACAGGACACGTATGATTGAGAACAATCAGGGTGACCTACAAAATGCCAGTAAACTGTCGATTTCTTGACTTCTAACTCCAGGTCACAATCACACTCGAGGTCCCCAGCTTCATCACCATCCGCTTCTTCTTCGGTATCATCTTCTCCAACTGATTCATCTGAACGCTCGTCCTCTTCTTCCTCATCCGCCGACCTTCGTGCTAGCTCCTGGTCACCTCCTCCCTCCTCCACCGACTCATCCTCATGCTCTGCGTCCTCCTCTTCATCCGTTGACCTCCGTGCTCGCTTCCGGTTGCCTCCTCCCACCAGCCCAACAGCCCCCGGGCCACCACCACTGAAGAAAACCGTATAGTCCACAGTCGTACTGCGGGATCGTAGACACATCGAGCTGGTGGGCATTGTTTCACAGGTCACTCCTACATGTCGACATTTAGGAATCATTTACAGTGCAATTTGTCGTCCTTGTTGCTACATTAATTATAACTGCTGTCTCCGAAACTCTTGTTTATTTTCATGTATATTCACTATATTCTTGCTTGTTTTTCACAATGTCTGCCTCACTAACATTATTCATCCCATTACTGAAGCAATTGTCTCCGCATCATATATGAGCCCGAGCGCGCTAAAACATGACCACAGCTTTTTTTGAAAAAGTCGAGATAATCGCGATTTGAATTCCGCGGCAAAAAATACGAAGTGCAGTGCAACGCGAGTCGCTGTTGTTGTTCTCCTCGGTCGATTGGACTGTTCCGGATGCAATTCTTTGTTGCAAGTAAGTTTATTTGTTAGAGTTTGTATTCCATGTTGCGCTGAGTTGCCTAAAACTGATCGTCATCGATGTATCGACAGAAGAGCCTAGTAGTAGCAATGTACTGCGGAGCGGAAGAAGACGACATCATCGCACTCCATGCGCAGGATAAAATATTTTGAGAATTCGAGTCGGAAACAGAAGGAAGACGATGATGGCTACAGCGACGAGTCATTTGAGGGCAACACTTTCATCGAGCGTAAAAAGAATTGATGCTGGTAGTCCCACGATCTGCAGTGACAAGGAATTCTACTCTGATGACAACCTGGCAAGCGATTGGCATCGACACGGACTTGGGAGGTGAGTCGGCCGATGATTTGGCCAGAATGGACATCGCTGCATATATCCGGGACAATGCCAGTATTGGTTGCAAGTGCAAAAACAATCACTGGACTCTGCTGCTCCCTCAACTTGCTCAAGTCCATAATTTGAGGACCCTTCTGCGGAACATCGCTAGCATGAGCAGTATGCAGCGAAAGCAGTACTCTCTGGTGAGCGGAGAAAACCGTGTGCAGATGGGCTTTGGTGTGGGGAATATGAGTGCGACGTCTAGTATGTTGAGGAACACTGTGTGCAGCAGTGTATACTGAATATTTGAAAGTACAGTTGGAGTGTGATGGAGAGGACATGGAGTGCCAACTTCTTCGGCCATCTACAGATCGGATGTTGACCGTGTTTTCGCTGGCGGTTCTCCAGTGGTGCTCCAAACAGGAGGTGTTTCGGACACCCAGCTCAGCGGCCTATAGACAATTTGGATGTGGCTGAGTACCTGTCAGCTCCTGCTATAAGACCCTGGACAGAGGAACTGACCCGGAAAGGATGAACCAAGGGGCATATCAATTGTGTGGAAAATGACAACCCCATTGCTGTACATAGAATTTCACCATTTCAACAGTGCTGCATATAATACCATTGTAGCAACACTTAGACATGTCGGATCAATCCAAAACTTTCAGACAGTGAACATTAGGCGTGTTAGATCATTTTTGAACAAAAACTAAAAATCGAATTTTTGGTCTGTGGTCATATTTTGGCGTGCTCTGGCTCATATTTACATAATAATAAAAAAATTCAATTTCGTAACATTCTTGCAGGTCACTTACATGCTTTCTGACATTTCGGCTCAGAAGCATTCCAGTTCAGGTCTTGTCCACAGTGTAACACAGAGCTGCCATTGAGTGTATAACCTGTTTCACAGTCAAACCTAGCAATGGAGTACAACCATGTACTATTCTGATAGAGACGATGACCATTGGCAGGGATGCTCAGGCTTCTGCAGCGTTGATCTGCAAACATCGCGAAGAACACAGGCATTACGACTACCTTTATGTCTATGGCCAACACGCACGCGCGCGCGCGCGCGCGCACGCACGCACGCACGCACGCACGCACGCACGCACGCACGCACGCACGCACGCACGCACGCACGCACGCACGCACGCACGCACGCACGCACGCACGCACGCACGCACGCACGCACCCACACACACACACACACACACACACACACACACACACACACACACACACACACACACACACACACACACACACACACACACACACACACACACACACACACACACACACACACCTACACACACACACACACACACACACACACACACACACACACACACACACACACACACACACACACACACACACACACACACACACACACACACACCTACACACACACACACACACACACACACACACACACACACACACACACACACACACATACACACACACACACACACATACACACACACACACACACATACACACACATATATATAAGGTTCGGCCTCATTTCCTCTGTGCTGCGCTGATGAGTTCAAAAAGAACGAAACAGCATGCTGTCCGCAGATTGAGTGCACCTTGATGTGCTTCTTTTGTCGACACAGCTCTGGCCTCAAACTGCGAATGTACAGCGCCTCCAGTGTGAATCTGTGCGCGCTGTTCCGGGCTGGTGTGATCACACTGAAGCTGCTGTTGCGTTCCTGCGGGATGCATTCAGGTTGCGCCTGCAAATGCTTTGTGATGGCGCTATCACTTGTTGCCACACGTTTGTCAGGCGGCTTCTTGTACAGCTTGTCTGGGATATGCTGCTTGATCCTTTCCGAGAATCGCTGACATGTCTCACCAACGTACGTCCGCTCACAGCGACACGCATACTTATAAATAAAATTACTGTTTTCAAGAGTTGGTGAAACATCCTTCGCGATAGACCTGAATGCGGGTCTGGTTGTATAAATTACAATGGGGGATACTGTAGGATAGCAGTTCAAAATTTCAGCTTTAATCTTTTTGCGGAAGGCAATGCAATTTTGCCCTTTCCACGGCAATTTTGTGATAATACGCGTTGCAGATTCAAGTTGAGCAGAAGCTGTATCTGGGCTAGGTTCAAGAACGCTTGTCATGACTCGCTTGAGTACTTTGAGTGGGTAACCGTTAGAACACAGAATATCCTCTAGCTTAGCAATTTCAGCTGATAATAGTGATGGTGAGCAGATGTTTTTAGCTCTGAAAGTTAATGATCTGATCAAATTGATTTTGTTTCTAGTGTCACAAAACGAGTCCCAGCGGGTGTAAAGACCTGTGAACGTCGGCTTTCTATATACTGTGGTGAGCAATTCTGTGGAAGAATGCTTAATCAATACATCAAGAAACGGCAATTCTCCATTATTCTCCTCCTCCATTGTAAACTGGAGAGCTGGGTGAAGATTATTTAAACGCTCAGAGAATTCCAATGCCAGTTTCCGGTTGTGAAATGCTGCGAATGTGTCATCCACATAACGCCTATAGAATTGGTGCTACGGCTGTTCAAGCTGCAACCGGACTGACAACTTTATCACGTGTTTGTTCTGGTACTGCATTCCCCTCATGTGTTGTTTCCCGCATTTTTCCACTGCTCCATACATTCTTATGGTAGTGTAGTGTGAACTTGAGGCGCGTAAGAATATTCTTGCTGATTCTCTACCCCCAGTATAAATTCTGGCTTCGTTTTCGTTCTTGCTCATTCCCATGTAACTACTGATGAAAATGGGTGAAAAGCTTTTAGTATTATGAAATTGACAACCTTGTTGTTGTGTGTATATAAATTTTGTTCGCCTACATCTCTATTTATATATATATATATGGCACTCAGTGAGTGAGCCAAACATGAAATAGACACTTACTTTCACATACTGGCTCTGAACCATTCCAGGTGAAGTTCCCCGCACATTGCACCACAACACTGCCGTTCAGGCGATATCCATCCTCACAGCGGAATCGAGCAATGGAGTTGAGCTGTGTTCCTGCTGTATATTCTCGGTGACCATTCACTGGAATAGAAAGACTCCTGCACTGCCGGTCTGTAGCATTACCAAAGCCAGAAGAACCGGATTTGTGACGCACACATACACACTATGATGCACGCTCGCACGCATGCACACACACACACACACACACGCACACACACACACACACACACACACACACACACGCACACACACACACACACACACACACACACACACACACACACACACACACACACACACACACACACACACACACACACACACACACAATTACAAGATATCAATATAATTATCATGTTTACATGCATGGTTAACATCTTATGCTGCAATGATCCACAAATTACTATGATTCCAAATAAGCTGGCTTCTTTCAACCAATACCATACACCATATTAGAGAGTTGCATGTTAAGACCAAATAGCAGGACGGCATACTTCACCAGACCCCTAGCGTCTTTGAATGCAATAGGACGAGAATCATATGCATTATGCCGTGATAATCGATTATGCTTCATCGGAGTGCCATCAATTGAAGGTTCCTCATACTTTACCTTTCCAGCAGACTGGGGCAGTACCATTCCAGGTTGTGTTTTCCAAGCATGTCAATGTTTTTTCTCCAGTCATGTCATAGTCGTCCATGCATTTAAAGTGTACTTGTGATCCAGGCTGCCTTCCATCATTCTCGTAGGTGACATATCCGAATGGAAGTGGTGAAAACAAGGGACAGCGATTCCCTGAAGAGCACAACACAGCAGTAAACCAAGGCGTGTGCACTCTTGTGATACGGCTAACTGAGCCTGTGTGCTCATAACTTGCATCACAAAAGAGTACCATAATTTATATCCCCGATTGTAAGTCGCACATTTTTACACTAAACTTCAAGGGCAAAGAAGGGGTTCGACTTACAATCGACTGTGACTTCTTACTTAGGTGAATGCATTGAGACGATTTTGTTCAGACGTGAGAATGGGCTGCGACTCTCTCAACTCATGTTGGACATATGTTGCGGCCTATGTGGTATTGGGCACTCTTTTTTACTGTGTGATGTCCAAATACAATGCTGCGCAATAAAATCCAGACGCGTCACTCACGTTTGCGTCTTGCACCATTTCGCAGCCCAGTTTGCGCAGGTCCAGGGCTGCGCAACACTGGGCGTGTACTTGAGTGACGCGACTGGATTTCATTTGGCAGCACTGTAGAAGAACAATCTTAGCAGAATGATTTGAAGGCTCTGTGCAACATCAAATGTAGCAGAGTTATGGCAGTAAAAACCCACCCTTGCGTAACTTTGCCATGTATGGAGTGCTGTATGGGCAGGCATGTATTTCCCGCCATATGGCCAGGTGTGTCTTAACGCAATTTCTCTACAGGATAAAGTGCACGTAGTACCTGATTCATAGCATAGGAAGAGGACACCATTTGTACAAGGAGAGTTGAATAGAGACCAATTGTGGTGATCTCTACGCACGTGGCGATGGCATGAGTTATATATTGCCCTGTTACGAGTACAAGGTGTCTGAGCTGCAAGCTGAGGAACCTTTGGTGGAGAAACATCTAAAATCTTTACCAAGTGTTCAAAGTACTTGGTGAGGCAGACCTGGTCATGAAGCTGTTTCGGCAGCAGGGTAAGTCCTCTCTCCCTGCAGTTACTCTCGGCAGCATCAAATTTGTACCCGGCTGTGCGCCACGTCAGAATTTCAGGGTCAGGAAAGATTGGTAAATATAGTGTTGACGGGGTAGAGGCACACCTCCAGGATTCTGTAACAGTAGAATGACTCTGAGCATTGGCTCATGGAATGTTCGCTCTGTTGTGGAGAGTAATGGACCAGTTCAAACGGCAGCCGTGAGAGGAATCGTTTCCGACGATAAGAAAATCTTTCGAATAGTTCAACATCTTGAAAATGTGTGTGCCCTCTGCTCTGGTGGAGGACGGTTGTACTTTTTGGGGCTTTTGTTTCTGGCTTCCGTCTGTGCTTGTTCTCGCCATTGTGGACGGCCTGGGGTGTCCCCAGCCGTCCTCGCAAACAGTGCCTGAGGTGGGGTCTCCAACGACAGGACACTTGGTCGGATAGATACTACCGTACTGGCAATATATGTTGCCGCGTAACGCGTAACGCAGGGGGGTGCGGCGTAACGCGCGACCAGGCTAGTGCGGCAAATTTTCGTTGAGTTCGTAACGCGCGTCCGGCGGGGTGCGGCGATCTTTTCATTGCAGTTTGCACTGCAAAAAAAGGCTGAAAACTGTGAAAGCACGTGTATCGCGTGGTGAAAAGTAGTTTTTGGAGGAAGCGCTCTTCCCCTATGTCTCTTTCCTTTTGATGATCTTTTTGTGAACAAATCACTCTGATAGTTAAAATATACAGTCTTCTATTGATATCGTTGTCGCCCTTTGCCGTCGGGTTTGTAACAGTTGGATAGCAACTGAATTTCTGTGCCTTCAATGTGGATGAAAAGAAAAAATGATGCGGCAAAAGCAAAAAAATGATGCGGCAATAGCAAAAAAGTGATGCGGCAATAGCAAAACAAAGGACTGCGGCAATATAGAAACCTGTGTAACGGCTCCTGTGCGACTTTGCATGTAACGCCTTGCGTGCGGCAAACATGTGCCAATGTAACGCTTCATGGCCTCACTGCGGCAACATATATTGCCAGTACGGTATGCAGATACTCTCCTCGTCGCCCCCACCTCGGAGTCCTTCGTGCGGCCTTACAAGCCCGCGAGTGCAGCAAACTACCGCACACACACACACACACACACACACACACACACACACACACACACACACACACACACACACACAAACACACACACAAACACACACACAAACACACACACACACACAAACACACACACACTGTACTGTCCTTGCTCACTGTCAAAACTGGTCACATGGGTCTCCCCGGGAGAGGGGAGAGAGATTCAAAAGGAATCTTGGAAAGATGACTCAATTGGCTATTGAACTGCCCAACGGCCGACACCCCCTGAAATCCCCAAACTTTGGGTGGACTTGGAAATGATCCCACTTATGGGCTCACCACACCTCAGTAAGTGGGTGGGGACAAGGTGCAGGAAAAAAGGATTGACGGCATCAGGGTATCCGTCCCGGGATCGAATTGCAGTTACCCTGCCCTCAGTGAAGGTAATACTTGCTACTAGTGTTGGTGGCTAAATCAGAGTGGATCTCAGTGTCTGCTCCAGCGCCGGATGAGCCAGGTAATCCACCCGGTTGGGCGGCGCTTGGACCCTGTTGAAAATATAGTGCAGGGTCACCTGTGACCCGGTTGGTACTTTACACTTTCGAAAGGACTAACTACATGGCTTGTATGTGTCAGATACTTCTTCTTCTTTCGTAATTTTCTAATTCCTGTCCTCTCTTTTCTAAATGCGGCTTATCCATTCGCCTTTATATCATTGGGCGTACATGTGTACCCGGCTCCGACCCGGTTTTAATGGTTGCGCCAGGTACACGTGTACCCGGCTGTCCTACAATCCTGGAGCATTCACTGGATCTGATACAAGCTTCACTAGTACCATGATCACACAAGAGCCCGTTAGCAACAGATCCAACACTATCTGGCATAAGTGTACCCACCAACCGAACTAGCTGGCACACACCATGTACCATGTATACACCCATCGAAAGAGAAGCACGCAAATCTACAAATGCCCTTGATGTGCACCCACAGAATTTCTCTTTATAGCAACGATAGCGGATCTGATCCTGAATAAAACAGATCAAGACAAGAGCCAGATAATGTCTAATCCACACAACTGGCGAAGCCAAGTGAATCGACCACCAATGAACACCTAGTCTACACCACACGGAGTACATCGGAATAAGATGGCCAAGACAGTTATCAATGCAAACCCTACATTTGCTGGTGTTACCGGTATAGACAGCACACTGCTTTGATAGAAGCAGACACTAGAGGCACTGGTACCTTGAAGTGAAATTGGAGTTACTTTACCAACCAGCCTCGGCAACTGGGTACTGGGAACCCAGAGACAATTGGCATACGAACAACTTCAGACATGAAAGCTATTAAAGAAACAACACACTGGATTGTGGAGCTGAAACTAGTCCAACTTCGCAAATGCGTAAGCAAGAAGGTAGCCTTCCGACAGGTTGGGAAACCCCCACCCCTCACACATACACATATAATGTCACTCAGTGTAGCGGAGTGAGCCAAACATAAATATAGACACTTACTTTCACATACTGGCTCTGAACCATTCCAGGTGAAGTTCCCCGCACACACTACCATAGCACTGCCGTTCAGGTGATATCCGTCTTCACATCGGAATCGAGCAATGGAGTTGAGCTGCGTTCCTGCTGTGTATTCTCGGTGGCCGTTCACTGGAATAGAAAGACTCCTGCACTGCCGGTCTGTACATGCACACACATGCACACACACACACACACCACACACCACACACACACACACACACACACACACACACACACTACTACTACTACTACTATTGACAGCTGCCAGAAATGGCCACGCCGCTCCCCAAAGGGAGGTACTGTCAGAGAGGTTAGGGGGGAGGAAGGCAATGCTCCAAGTGGCGTTCCAGATCTTGCCGCCTCCGGAACCGTCGGTTGTGGCAAATTTGGCAGTGAAACTTGAAAATTCAAATTTTCAAAATTCACTCGTCTCTTTGCCGTCTCGACCGGTCCGTCATTGTTGACCAGAGTGCGGACGTTCCAAGATCCAAAGGCCAATGTTCGCAGCCTTCCTCTCCTCCGCCTTCCTGACAGTACTCTCTGAGCTTCGCAGTTTGGAACCATTCGGGGGTCAGCTACACCACCGCGAATGGAGAGACGAGGACGACAACGGTCGTGACAGAAAAGAAACTGCCCTGGCGACCGCGCCGCGGAACCCTCGCCCCAGGAAATTTAGGAACACGCCAGGGGCGACTCTGGTGAACCCAGAGCCACCCCGTGGCCTAAGACTAGTAAGAAGAACGACGGAAAACTCAGATAAATCGGAGCTACAAAAAGTGCAACCGTCCCCTTCAAACACAAGGGACACACACACACACACACACACACACCACACACACACACACACACACACACACACACACACACACACACACACACACACACACACAATGTAGGGGTTTGTCAACTGACAACCGCTCTATTTAATAAATTTTAGTTGCCATTCACTCTTTAGATGAAAATTCTTTTAATAATGATGTCGAAAAATTATTGACGTTTCGGGCCAGTCACCCATCGTCAGAACAATGTACAAGGAGCGAATCTGGCATTTTATAACGAAAGCAAGCGAGAGCGTTTGTATGTCCATGTACAAAATAAACGAAACACACAATGGCCGTATGCAATTGAGTGTCTGAATTTGCATGTACAACCGACAAGGAGAAGTGCGCTGAAAGAGTGGGTATGCACCAGCTCAGCAGATAAAGCGCAGGAAATGCGTGTACGAAGGTGTATACCACGATCATTGTGTGTACAACCCTGTAATAATTCGTATTGTGTTAAAATGCATTGCATGCTAACATCTTGTGCTGCAGTGAAGCTGCACAATGATTCACAAATTACCATAATTCCAAATATGCTTGCTTCTTTCTACCATGACCATGCACACCATACTAGAGAGCTGACGAAAATCAGAGTGGCACATTTCAACTAGACCCATACCGTGATAATGCCACAGTAGGAGAATGGAAGCATACTCATCATGCCTACACATAAATATTCCACTATGCTTCATCGAAGAGCCATCAATTGAAGGTTTCTCATACTTCACCTTTCCAGCAGACTGGGGCAGTACCATTCCATGTTGCGTTTTCCAAGCATGTCAATGTTTTTTCTCCAGTCATGTCATAGTCGTCCATGCAATTAAAGTGTACATGTGATCCAGGCTGCCTTCCATCATTCTCGTAGCTGGCATATCCGAATGGAAGTGGTGAAAACAAGGGACAGCGATTCCCTGCAGAGCACAGCACAGCAGTAAACCAAGGCGTGTGCATTCTTGGGATACGGCTAACCGAGTCTGTGTCCTCCATCACAAAAGAGTAATCTGCTGCAAAGGGTTTCAATGCTGTAATCCGACAAAAAGGGAAGAGCTGAGATGCAAACTCTCTTCTAAAAATTCCATAGGATCAATTTTGCAGCTATTAGAACTCCGCGAATAGAGGAAACATTCTACTGTGTAATTTCCAAATAGAGGGACAATCCTAGCAGAATGATTAGAAGACTCCATGCCACATCATATGATTGTAGCAGAGTTATGGCAGTGAAACCCACCCCTACAGAACTTTGCGACTTTATATGGAGCGCTTTGTGGGCAGGCATGTATGTCAGCCATTTTGCAAGGTGTGTGTCAATGTCATGATTTCTCTACAATAGAAAATCTTGTTTTAAACATGATGAGAGAATGCATGTAGTACCTGATTCATAGCACAGGAAGAGGACACCATGTGTACATGGCAAGTCCAATAACGTCCAATTGCTGTGGCGCTTATTCAACTGATGGCGATGGCATGCGTTATACTTTGTCCTGTTGTTAGTACAAGGTGTCTGAGCAGCAAGTTGGGGAACGTTTGGTGAATAAAATATCGATGTCAAGTATTCAAAGTACTTAGTGAGGCAGGCCTGGTCATGAAGCTGTTTCGGCAGCAGGGTAAGTCCTCGGTCCCTGCAGTTACTCTCAGCATCATCAAATGTGTATCCTGCATTGCGCCACGTCTGAGTTTTAGGGTCGGGAAAGATTGGTAAATATAGTGTTGACGGTGTAGAGGCACACCTCCAGGATTCTGTAACAGAGGAAAGAAAGCAATGCAAGACCCTAAAGCAGCTTTCACTCAAAATTAATGGCATCATTAGGGAGATTAAACAGTTTTATGATACAGAAATGGTGATTATGCAATTGTTTTCTGGAATAATTTCCCCCTTGTAACTAAGAGTTGAAGACCGTCTACAGTAACAAAGCAATGCAGTAATGACACTCTACACTAACAAAGCAATGCAGTAATGACACTCTACAGTAACAAAGCAATGCAGTAATGACACTCTACAGTAACAAAGCAATGCAGTAATGACACTCTACACTAACACAGCAATGCAGTAATGACACTCTACACTAACACAGCAATGCAGTAATGACACTCTACACTAACAAAGCAATGCAGTAATGACACTCTACACTAACACAGCAATGCAGTAATGACTCTCTACAGTAACAAAGCAATGCAGTAATGACACTCTACACTAACACAGCAATGCAGTAATGACACTCTACACTAACACAGCAATGCAGTAATGACACTCTACACTAACACAGCAATGCTGTAATGACACAATGTATGCCATATTACAGTAAGGCACTGGAACAATACAAGACAGTAGTGTGCCCCAACAAGCAGCATCACTTCACTTAGTCAATGTTTTATGGAGAAAGTCTAGGTGAGAGGAATTTATCAACCTTCGAGCCTGCATTGCAAAAACACTCACTCTGAGGCTGAAGGTCAGGGTTAGCTCCTTCAGTGCTCGACATATCAATGATGCACACAGCTGCCAGGGCTAGGCAAAGTCTCAGCAACATGTTACCAAGCCAGTTTGATGTGATCCTGATGTCTGCAGAAACCGACAGGCAATGCAATTCCTTTGGGAAAAAACTTTTTAATCTAAGTGTGTGTGTATGTGTGCGTGTGTGTGTGTATGTTGGTGCGTGTGTGTGTATGTTTGTGTGTGTGTATGTTTGTGTGTGTGTGTGTATGTTTGTGTGTGTGTGTATGTTTGTGTGTGTGTGCAGTAACAATTTCAGAATTGTTTATAGCATAGATACTTGGGCCAGAAAGGTGCCCTGTAGACGAATGTGACAGGAATAGGGGCGTCCGGATTCGGGACTTTCGTAGATTCTTAATCTGGACTCCTTAATCCGGGCCCGTTCGTTTTTGGGGCACTGTAATACCTATAGACGTTACCCTCAACTCCGTCCACTACTCAGATATTACAATGAGCCTCTCTGCTGGATTCCACCAACCGTACACTACATTCTACGTCAGCATCCACTCCAAACGCCAGCCACAAATCAGAAACAACATCCCCGCTGGCATCCACAGCCAGCTTGCAAGCATATCCTGCTTGCAAGCATATCCTGCCTGACGTAGTCTATGAACATGCAGAGGCCGTCAATGCCAATGGCCACCCCAGCACACTAACAGAGAAAATGAGCAGAAAACAGAGGAATGGGAAGAGGAGTGTAGTCTGGTAACCCCCTCCCCCCCCCCGCCCCCCCCCCCCCCTCCTCCATTTACACTTTGCAGCTGAAATGTCAAAAGACTCAAAACCAAGATCAGTGGCAATTTTCTGGCACTCATCCAGAGGACATCCCTCCCCACTCAAAGCTCAGAAAATATTCACCGAAAACGCCATCAAGATCAGAGATAGCTGCATGCCAAACATGACAGCGAGCATCAAGAGCCATAACAAAGCAATAGTCCACTCACAGATGATCCACCCCCCCCCCCCCCCCGGATTAAGTATATGCTCCACTATTCCCTGGTTGTCACCTCCCTTCCGCACTGCTTCGGGATGGATCTTTTGCTATAAAAAAAATAAAAAAGTAAATTATCGTATCCGTTCCCGAAGGGAACTCACGACGGCCGCTAACACCCGATGAACCGTTAGGCGCTGCATCTGCCGCTAGGATTTATCTTTTGCTATATCTGGTGGTAAATCACACAAATACAAAAGCCTTTTTGTGATTCTAAATGTACCGGTATGAATGTTTTTGCAAGGTACACTGTACCTGTACCTAAAATTGATGACTAAAAATAGAAAGTCCGACAATCTTCGCTTACATTCAAACTGTAGCGGACAGGAGTGCAATAGATGTACATGACTGTTGATCTCTTGACAGCATGTTACAAGTCGGAAGACGCACTGTGTTGAAAACAGTGCTCCTGACTACAACCATCATCGGTTTACATAAATGCACGTTTGCAGCTGGCAGCGCTCAAATCAAATAACTTATATTATGTTAGAAGACTCACCGTTTATGACAATGCTGCAGGTGCAAATATCAGACTGAGACTCCCTCTCTGCTCACCAGCGGTCAGCCTGGACGACAAAATTCGCCTCCCAGTTCGGTCGTAATGCTGTTTACACTTGAACTCAGGTCACACCAAAGTCGGAAATCTCCGAGAATGTTCTTGCTGCTCGTCGCTTCTGTTCATAACAGAAGTATTTTCGGCGGACCAGTCCAATCTGTTCTTCGGCCATCCCATCCGCTCTAAAAATAGAAAAATCCGCTCTCCAAGCTTTGAGGCCGTGAAATGCCGAACTACGGGGATCCGCATCCTACACTAAAGTGTTACGGTGTAGGGCTCAACTCACTTATGAAAGAAAGGTTTGGCAAACTGCCGAAGTTAAACTTAAAGACAGGAAACGTGCATGCTCCAGGCACAGATCTTTCACATGATGAAAGCCTGAGAGAGGCCTGGATGGAGGCGAATATTTTGTGACCAAAATCAACGGACAACTGATATCTAATATTACTGGGGACTTACGTGACTAGTGCGTTCATGCGGGAGTCTTGACGTAGACAATCATAGAGTTCTGGCAGGACTTTATCAGTCGGGGAGATGTCCTATCTAGGACCTCGCACTCTGAATGAATCTGATTGGTTACCTGTCCCAGAGTTGTCATGGAAGCGTCGGTCGCGCACACGCGATGAAAAGAAGTGTTGCGTGAGCATTTCTGAATGTATGTGGAGGATGCACGATCGTAATGGCGATGGATTTCTTTCCGAATTGGTCAAGTTTGAGGGAATAGGCGGAGAATATCAGACATGGGCGGGGATTGAGGTAGTGTATATTCGATTCGCCATCGAATACCCGACCGAATGGCCGTTTTCGTTTGGGGATTTCATGTGGGGTTTCTCGTAGCCACGCGGCGCTTCTTTGGAAACGATTGGTTCTACATGTACTTTTGAATGTTTTGCCTTTGGAATGTTTCTTCACGCCCGTGCGTTCATTTCGCCCCAAACCTGGCCATGCAGAGGAGGAAGACGAGGCAGCAGGCGCTAGGCCCGTAAATTACTGTTTGGAAGATATTATTTGGCCAAAGCTTGCTGTTGGCGTTTTTGATTTCTTGGATACGACAGCTCTTGGCTAAAACTGGACCTTGGACGGTCTTTCTTGGATATCAACCCAGGACGTGGTGGTCATGGACGTATCGCCATCGCTTTCAGCCATATCCTTCTGCTGCCTGAAACCAATGGCGAAAGTAAAAACTTTATCGCAGCAGCAGCTACTGCTCTGCTGAAAGTGCGAACACAAATAATTGCTTCGCCAATCCTCTTGTGCACTTGCAATTTTCAATGCGACCAAACGATTCGCTTGCCAGTTCCTTTGTCCAGGCGTACTCCACAACGAGGAAAATAAAATTCGTGAAGGCAAGAGGCAAGATACGAATCTCGACTCGCTTGAGGCAAGCCGCCAGGAGAACGACAACTTTTGAGACGAAAGGCCTTCGCGATTCGTTGCGTTTGTTTTGAGTGCGACATGTTAGGGGTCGTCCGCAATTATCGAAAGTTTTTTCCAATCCGTAGTAGCTTCGAAAGTGGGTGGGTGGGTCAAGGACAGTTACGGATTGAAAAACTTCCGAAATGACACGTGCGCGTGCCACGTGTACGTCTACGTGTAGCCCCTGTTTTCCACGCGCGGCTGCGCGCGAACGGTCTACTACAAATATTTTTGTAGTTCTGGCAGTTTCTGCGCCCACGCGCGCGCTTCCTTGGCTGCTCCTGGGCCGGGGATCATAAAGTTCGGCGCATTCGACGGCGAGTCGACACTTTCTATTTTTGAGTTTCACTGTCTCCTTCGTCCAGAGTACCGTCTTCCATGCACTCCTTTGAAGTCCTTCCGTCTAGCGCTGGCGCTGACGACTGTTATTGACTATGTCCAGACAGGCGACGTTGTTTGGAAAGGCGGTGAAGAAGCAGCCCTTTTTCAAAACCGCTGGTGACTCTGATTATTACAGAACAATAAATTGCTTGTGGCAGTTGTCCAAGACGACGAACAAGGATGTATTCTTTGCCGAAGCGAAAAAGGAATGGACGAGTTTGTTCCATATGTGTTGGGTTGTGTGTCCATCAATAATATTTTATTACGGACTGGGGGGGTGGGTGGGTGGGTGAGGAAAAATTTGAAGCTACTACGGATTGGAAAAAACTTTCGATAATTGCGGACGACCCCTTACTTTGTTCATCTTCCTCGGACGCGACACAAAGTTTTGAGTCACGTGTCACGATTACTATGGGAACAGCATAGTATGTATGCTGGGGCATGCTGGGTTCCGTGATGTCCTATCTAGGACATCACCAGGACTGTTTATGGCTGAATCAAGGCCGAGTGCATACGGCCAAGGGCGCAGGCCAAGGCGCGTAGCGCCGAGGCCTGCGCCCGCGGCCGTGCGCACGAGGCCTTGATGAAGGCGGAAAGTCCTGCCAGAACTCTATGATCGTGTTTCAGGTTTCCACTTACTGACTTAGTGACTTACATCCTTTGAGCCGCGTAGACCATGGTAGACGGTATAACTATAAGCGCGATACCACATACTGACATAGGGTGGATGTTGGGGACGTGGTGGCTAGACCTGTTGCCTTTTTTCTTTGCTCAATGCTCAAGAACAAGTAGGTTGGTCGTGGACGTGGTGGCTACACTATCACTCCTTTGCTGACACGCGATGATCTTATCAGTTTTCGCTTACATCAGTACATGAAGGCCTCGTGGCCTTGATTCATGGTCAGGTTTCACTTGCGAACTGTATATAAGCGCGACACCACCTAGGGGTGGAGGTCGGGGACGTGGTGGACGGATCTCTTGCCATTTTTTCCAATTATTTATTCCTCAGGTTAAGTCGTCCTTTGATGCTCGTACTCGTAGACTGTATATAAGCGCGATACCACCTAGGGGTGGAGGTCGGGGACGTGGTGGCAAGAACTCTTGCCATTTTTCCCTTGGCCTTGAAGAAGAAGAATGTTTTGAATTGTTTTCAGGTTGTAGCTGTTTAGTTTTGTCACTCCTTTACTGACACGCGTACAAACCTGTTGTCAACATCGCCATTAGCTTGTAGAATACTGGATTGCTTACTACATGTAGCCACCTTTGCTACCTTACATCATAGTACTTGTATGTTTATTACATCAATGAACAGAACTGGGCATGAGGTCATGTCTACAGGCATGCCCAATCTACATGATTGTAGTTCAACCATGTACTTACTCTACTCTCCTCCAAAGCCAAGGACGGCAAGGTCCAGAGATGAACTGAGATGGCAACGGAAAACTGACGCAGACCCCTGCACTGTAGAGCTAGGCTGACAGCGTGCGGGCCTTTATCGGCTCATCAAGGCCACCGCGGGAACGTCGCTCATTGGCTACAACCATGGAAACGGCACTGTAAAAACCTGAAACTAAGATCATGAAACACTACAATGCAAATGCCCTGTGTTCTCAGGCAGTCTTCACTTCAGTCCCTAGGGCCTAGGGCCCGGTACTAGGGGCTGCATGTAGATCTACATGTACAGAGCACATGAGAATTCATGTACTAGTAGATCTACTAGTACAACACAATCATAATGTTGGATTGACAGCATGAAACAAGGTTAGGTGGAGGACACTGTGTTCGGAAACAGTGACCTTACTACAACCTTCCGCGGTTGGCAGAGCCCCGGTCCCTTCGGACCATTTGAACCATATGGGTGTTGAACCCGGTTCTGACCCTCATTATGCTAGGGGGGTTTTAGACTTCTCCTTACGTCCGTCGTGTATTCTTTGATCGCTCCTGGATGTCGTCCTGGTAGTCATGTAAAAAAAGTAAATTATCGTATCCGTTCCCGAAGGGAACTCACGACGGCCGCTAACACCCGATAAACCCTAGCGGCAGATGCAGGGCCTAACGGTAGTCATATAGCTACTTTGAAAACCTGAATTGCTTTTCTTTAAAAATCTTCTTTTCTTCCAACTTCTGCCCATGGCGTCCTTCTCTCAGCTCGTCAGCTGTCAACAGTTACTGCCACCACCATGACACTGTCGCGAGAAGGTGCTCTCTGTAGACGGGATTGGTGATGTCCCGACGCGGCTGACGAGCTGAGAGAAGGACGCCATGGGCAGAAGTTGGAAGAAAAGAAGATTTAAGAAAAAACAATTCCGGTTTTTAAAAGTAGCTACATGAATACCAGGACGACATCCAGGAGCGATCAAAGAACATGTTAACACACGACGGACGTAAGGAAAAGTCTAAAACCCCCCTAGCATAATGAGGGTCAGAACCGGGTTCAACACCCATATGGCTCAAATGATCCAAAGGAACCCGGGCTCTGCCAACCGCGGGAGGTTGTAGTAAGGTCACTGTTTCCGAACACAGTGTCCTCCACCTTGTTTCATGCTGTCAATCTAACAATATGTGTTAACTATTACAAGGTTTATCTAATACTAGTTTCGAACTAGTATTAGGTTATAATTATAATAGTACAACTCAGTATCACTAAGGCAGATATCGGTGTAAGGTAGTGCTGAATTTCCGCTCGCGTTATTTGGCTCACACCATCGGATTTTCCATGTCTCTCAGCACATACATGTTCATGTACAGGGATCATGGGGATGGACAGCAATAACAAGAGTGGGGAAAGGGAGCTTGTCTTGACCTGAGCTCTACCAATCATGATAACTCAACTACAATAAGCGTAACGGTGGTTCTGGAAATGTTTTTGAATGTTTTGATGGAGGAATATTAGTGTACTCACGATCCGACGAGAGCATTCCCGGTATCACTGCACTGCCAGCAAGAGTACATAACTCCCCAGGGGAATGTGGATGCGGTGATGATGTAGATGTACATCCAGTCTAAGAAAGAGCGTATAAATGGCTATGGCGGGCATGATGTTTCTGCAGACTGTGCATTGAACACACTATGCTAAGCCTGGCTCCTTTACAGGAAAACACAGCATGCCATGGCTAAGCAGATTAACAGGACACAAAGAAATGATGAAGATTGGGTGTGTATGATTCTATCAGTAACTCTATGACAGGAGCGCCTTCCGTGTTTCACTGCATGCACGTGATTGTCTCAGTCCGATCATGGCATGGTCATTCAGTATCACGCGTGGCTGTGATTATTCACTCTGACCATGGCAAACATTGAGTATTATGCATAATTCTCGTAAATGTCATCTGAGGTGAAGGATGCGTGTGAGCCTGTCTTCTCCATGCCATCCTTATGACAAGGGTCAACGGAGCCAGGACTTCGGAAGGAGACATCATCGTAATCATCTCCGCCTTCTTCTTTGTCCACTTCCACGTATTCCTCAGCTTCTTCCACTTGATCTGTGATAGAGCAGTAGTCGTCAGTGGCTGGCTTTGTCTTGGTTGCGAGTGGTGTTGGTGGCGGGCCGATGTTCGGGCCGGAGTCGCCACTTAAGACTGACCTACTTCGGACTGCTGGCACTTGGCTTAGCTGCTTGGCAGGCGCAGGCGTTTTGTCCGGAGGTGTGTTCGGCGACGTGGTAGCTTCCTGACGGCCGGGCCCCTCATTGTAAAAGTTGCCAGCTGGTCTCTGCTGCGTGACACGCATCCCGCTGAACACTCCCGTGATGACATGCAGTTTGTTCTGCCATTGGAGCACGGCCACTGCCGTGATGGCGACCAACAACACGATCAGTATGCATATGCCCGCGATGTAGCCTCCAGCACCAGCGCACTGCGGCTCAGGACACGAACAATGAGGCGATGTGGTGGCAGCTACACTACCTATGGCCATGGTGCCAGCAAAAGATGACGTGTAGCTAATACTCCTACCAGTACTGACATTTGTGGTGGCCATAGTCGAGACATTCCCCTCAGTTGTCATGTTATTGTGATAACAGTAGCGGCGAATGGGTAGTTCCTACAGATATCTGTCACAGGTCAGAAGTTCAAACACACCCGAATCATTAGATGCTCTGCTCATGCATTCATGAGACAAGAGTATGTATTGATAGCAAAGATGAATTTTTCTTGTTCTCCCGGGAATTATGGCCCTAGCAGTAGGCTACCATTAATTAAAAGCATTGCTACCATTGCCCTTATAAATCCATGGAAACATTCCGGAATACCGAATGACTGAAAATCGAAATAACGCCTATTGCACATGTATCCGTGTGTGAGCCAACCCCCATCTCACGACGCCATGGATTCATTTGCGAGGCCAAATCATCAGAGCACCCGGTAATAGTCATGCATGTGACGCCTCCTAATATTGGCCGATGGGCAACCGTGATAGGCAACTACATCATGCACTTACTGCATGTGCGGTACTCAGTGCACACAGCACTCATTTTGCATGGAAGATGACTATGACGCCCCGTGCCTACAGTAATGGAAAGGATATTGAGATTACTAGTAGTATTTTTATTTTTTAGTATTTATTTATTTATTAACATCGAACAACTCAACAGTGTTGACACACAAATGTGTGACTACAACTACAGTGTCTATACATATAGTAACACAGTAACACTCATCCAACTATGCCACACACGGCACTATACCACACACGACACTGCTCTACTGATCTACCTACGTCGTATGCACACGTGAATCCTGCAACAGCGTTACCTGGAATTCGCTGGCCAATGGGCAATCCTCCGTCGTCCTTCCACTCAGATCGCAACCGCGAGCGTGCATAGCTTGGAGGCGCCTAGAGTACTATGAAGTATGATAAGACCACCTTGACTAAATTTGATCCTCTATATCTGACAGCGGAAAAGCTATTCTCTTTCTTCAGGAGCCCCGAAACACCGTGGTAGAAAGAAGCGCCTAAATTTGGCATTCGAAACAACAATCGGGGACTTAATTAATGTACCGGTATAAGTCTTGTTAGAATAATCGCAACTGTTTGCGACGCTGTCATTCTGCTCAGTTTAGCGACGACGTCAGGTCGGGTAGACCATAGAAAACCTTGGACGTGATTATTCTGAGAAATTCAACTGTCGAGACTCGATGCCATGAGGAAACGCGTGCTGCGCCCGGAAGAGAGGCTATGCAGGGTTCCGAACATGGCGCAAACCCGCAGTATAGTAGGTCCACGGCGACAGTTCCTCTGACAGGCGTAATCGACTGGTATTAGCATGTTGGGCGCATCAGATGCAAGCTGCTGGAGAATACTCAGTATTGTCCATTATGAACACCTCAGGGCCAGGGCTGCGTACACTGGTACAGTTGTGGTCTACACGCCCGTGGAGGCTACCCCTGAACTCGGAGGCTTGCAACAGGGACAACAATCTACGAAAGTGTACATCTATGTATTCAATCTGCGGCCAGAACTGTTTCGTCCTTTGTGGACTCATCAGCGCAGCACAGAGGAAATGAGGCCGAACCTGATAGCAATAACCTATGTGTTCATGTAGGCCAGGATGTGCGGGTGATGCGTAGAAAAGTGACAACGAGGAAATAATTATTAAAGTGTAGCTGGTCACAAATGTAGCTTATGTTACTGTAACTGTCGTCACTTTCTGTGCAATCAGGTGTCAACAGTACACAGGAAGATGCATACAACGTTAGTGTACAATCATGTACTAGTACACTAGTACAGTGAGTATCGTTTATAAAGTGACCGGGTGTAACGATATACCGGCTATAATGATCGAACTCGCCAAAATCAAAATCAAATCACAAAAAAATACAGCTAAAATATCACTATACACACTATTATCGGCTATACCGATATATCGCTTATTGTGATGGGCTTCAGGAAGCAAACCATATCAAATGCACAGGAAAATATCGTATATACTGATCAAGAGTGATGATCACAAAACAATTGTTCTTCAAATTTAGTTCATTTCTTCCGAAACTGATCCAGTGTTGCCTGGATGCATCTGGCAGCAGACGTGATTGAGAGAAAATTCTTCCCTGTATGCTGTAATCAGCCACATGTACACGTGGCTGCTTTTCATGCATTTTCCAGCGTGTACGCATCATTTCATGCATAGTCATGTGCCATGTGTCAGTCTTACATGCAAATCGGCTATAGTGATGCACCGGATATAGTGATAAATTATCGAAAATCAAAGGGGCACGTTATATCCACTATTTACTGTACTTGGAATTACCGATACTGTCACCAGTAGCTCTACATTTCACATGTACATGTACATGACAAGTAGTATTTTTTAGCCCTACATATGATTAATTGATTGATACTTTAGTTTCAAGGATTCTCCAGGGGAAAATGGATGCCTATCAAAGGGAGTCTCCTGGGGTATATAGAATTCCAAACACAGGTGCTCGATGTCCGGTGGATAGATTATGATATTGGTGCGTGAGTGTGACTATTGTACAACGCTATTTTATCTAATTAATTTCAGGAACATGTACCATGCAGCTATCACAAGAAAGTGTTCATCAAGAACGATGCGTGGGGTACTGTTAATAGCAGCATAATATTTTAGGTAAGATAAAATCGGTGCCGAAGTGAAACATAACGTGCGTGTGATGGAGCAATTGGTCACGACAATAATAGTTTTATGGTAGGCGCTGCAACTAGCGCAACGGTTACCTTGGTTACGTGCCTGGTGCACACTCACAGTGCCTAATCGTCGGGCTGAAAATCATAACATTGTTTTACTATACGTGTACATGTACATGATGAATCTCGTACCCCGTACCCTCTAATGGCTGTATTGAAGTAGTTTCAGTGACGAACGTGGGATGTGTGGATTCTCCTAGATCCAGTAACACCGTGATACTGCCGTGGAAATGAGGCAAATAAGATCATGGGTTGATATTGTGCAAAGTAAAGGTACCACTGTCTCAAGGCAAATTCACAGCTGTAAGGTATCCAATGTGTTCATAACCAACATCGTACCAGGCAGTAGCAATATACATACAGTGCATTGTTAACCTTGCTGGAGTGTCGCAGTGTCCTTCAGTTACATGGTCGTGTCTCCCCGTGACATGGGAACGTACGTAGCTTCTCTGTCCAAGGTTTCCTGGTTCACGTACAGCTCCTCTGGATCCTTGGAGAGCGGTTGCAGTCTGGATACGCTCGAGATGACGCTCTGGCGTGGAGGCTGTGGGGCCGGGGGCTTGCGACTGATATGACCATCGGAATGATGTCTTGGTGGCTCGCCAATGCCCCCGGCCGGACTTGGTTTGCTTCGATCAGTGGATGCATTCGGCAACATTGCTTGACTCTGTCGAGAACTACTGGTGCTCGTCTGTGCTGGAACAGCTAGCGATGTCGCTTTGTCCGATTTCAGCTGATCGTTTCTGACATTGGTGGTGCTGCCCCGAGGACTACTGACTGTGCTGTGGGATGCAGTGGATTGTTTGTTCACGTAGACAATACGATCTTCACTGGCCTTCCTGCCATTGTCCGCAGAGCTGGGCTGACTGAACTCGGAGCCCAACTTCGACTTGACTACGAGATAATCACAACCATTGGCGTTGTCGTTTTCAGTGGAGGACAGGGTCACACTGGTCAGTGGCAGCGTGCCAGAACTAGTGACGTCAGCAGCTACCGACTCCCGACGGGGAACTTTCAAATACCGCTCACTTGAACTTTTTGTTGAAGGTGCCCTTTCATCGCTTGCATTCTTCTGAAGTTCGTACTGACAAAGGGCGGGTTCGCTGATCTTCTGCAGCTCCGTCAGTGTGGGGTCTGCTTTCCTCTCTGCCGCCTTCCTGCGTCGATATTGGAGAACAAAGATGGAGGCACCGAGGCACGTGACCAAAGCAATGAGGATACAAAGTACCACGAGGAATGGTGCTTGCTTGAAAGCGCTCTCCTTGTCAGCCTTGGTCCAAGGGTTTGATGGTTCATCAGGCACTTCTGCAGGACATACAGCAGGAAATAGCTCTATTGGCATTCCGAATACCGGTATGCACACTGTGGTAGCTGGGAGCGACGTCAAATAGCTCAATATCTACTTTTAAGGTAGAGCTTGCACACACACACACACACACACACACACACACACACACACACACACACACACACACACACACATGCATCAGTATGGCAGTGGGCAAGAAATGTTAGTTACAGCTCCCAGGCGACACAGAAACAATCAGGTCAGGTGGTTGATACAGAGACCAGTCTAGCTAGGGAGTGTTGTGAGGTCAATGAATGGCATATTGAGAGACAAGGTATAAGAAGAAGGAGAAGAGCATAAGCACGCCGTCATCTGACCTACCTATGCATAGTATCTCCGGCTCAGTCCACGCCGCAGAATCACCGCTCAGGCATAGGATCTCCGCGGTCGTGTTGCTATCATCCATTGGCATGTACCCCTTGGAGCACTGGTATGTGGCGTTAGACCTATCCGGAGACACTATCACTTGGCTGTTGTCCACTTGTGGAGTTGACCCGCACATTGCTGTCGATAGAAGAACCACGAAGGCACATTAATGATTTTCAATTGCATCGACCAGGGAACTCTACAATATTCGTGCAACATGTTTATGTGTGCGCGCGCGCGCGTGTGTGTGTGTATGGGGGGGGGGGTGTTCGTTACGGACTTTAGATTCACCCCTGGTGACCTGCTGGACTCGATGTCAATATACAAGTCATGATTGTATAATATTATCTACAGAGCAGGAGCACTTGTGTGAACTCTGTGAACAATATGCCGAATTGCCAACTCGCCCACAATGCGACTCTTGCCAAAAACAGGCAATACGGCCGGGCTTGAATCGATAATGCGACCGGATGGTTGGAAAAGAAGGAAAATAGCAGAAAAGAGGAACTGTACACGTACAGCAATACATGTACATCATGAAACAGGTTATCAACGGTATAGAACCCAAGTACTCTTGAATTACCTACATACATTATGGTCCATACAGTGAAACTTCAATTTAAAGTACTTTGGATATAAAGTACATGATTGTGCAATAATGGACAATGTGTACTACATGTACATGTATCTCAGGACCTGCATTATGCTGTACCCACATGTACATGTACTACCAAGAGTACATAACCCCCCTCTTGGTAGTACATGTACCCGTCATTTGACCTCGGCTATACAGTACAGGCTTGTGGCCCTTGGGGTACGTTATACTGAAGTTTCACTGTACGTAATACTGAAGCCTAGTGAGCGACCTACAATAGGCGACATATTGTTAGATTGACAGCATGAAACAAGGTGGAGGACACTGTGTTCGGAAACAGTGATCTTACTACAACCTTCTAATAATAATATAATCTTTACTTCAGGATTACCCAAAGCCTATTTGGGGGATCTCCTATTTGTGTATGTACTAGTTCTAATACTGGTTTTGAACTAGTATTGGGTTATATAATACAATAGGCTACATGCAGGTTCACTGCGCTACATGTATATGTAGGTGTAAGGATGTAATTGTTAGCACTCTCTTCGCTTACCCATGTCCTGGCTCGTCACATACACTACTGCACTCAGTAGACAACACGCGATCGCACTTAGCACTGTGCTATCCATTCTTGGTAGATTGGTGTTGGTTCGTTTCTCTACAGCAGCTCTCACCTTGATCTCCCAGGGTTCCCGTCCCCTATTGAGGACCACACAGAAGTACAATGTACATGTACATACAGACTGACATGTGCTTTAGCGTGAGTGAACAGCTGGTGAAGTCTAAGCTGCTGGGAGGGTATTAAATACATAATTCAACCTGTGTGGATTCACAGGAAGTGTGGTTTCTACTTCTGAAGAACATGTTGAATGGTACGCGGTCGCTGCTTAGATAACGATTAGACTTAGCTTAATGGTGGAGCATCATGGTGGCTTGCCATAAGCCAGGGAGGGACCCTGGTTAGAGTCCTGGTACAGTGGTAGTGACAGTCAATAAAATTCCTCGGACTTTTTTCCCATTTCAGCTCCCTCAGGGCTCAACCTTATACATTATTATTACATGTGGCTCGTGTGAATTTTGCATTTACATATTCAGAAAAGTAATTAAAAGGTGACTGATCTGTGTGAAAAGATCATTTCCGTCAGCTATCGTTGAGGAGCTTCAGAGCGTCTCACAACACCACCTGCTCTACCTCGCCTCCATCTACTATTCAAGGAACGAGTTCACAAGTACCTACATGTACATTGTATCTGCGGCAGCGATCTGCTGACCGGCATAGTGCCTCCACTAACCTGGACTGCACAGCCGGACTGCTGATTTCAAATGGCCGACTTGCCTACCATTTGAAGTACTTAGTATCCTCTTTATATTCCTGCTGATCTATTATGATCGACTCTTGCTCATCAGGCTACTGTCCTGTCACCTTTACATTGTATTCTCACCAGCTCCCTAGTGCTCCTATTCATCTTCTTTTAGCATTTTCTGTTTGGCGTGCATGAGCAGTGTTGATTCTGAGACCATTGATCGGTTTTAGCTGCTCTTTATCCGTCTCCACTGTTTCGGCTGGCATTGTTATGTGCCTCCCTGCTATTTCTTGCTGGTGTTTTCACCATGATTGTTTGTAGATATCTTGTAAAATACATCTAATATCTACTACTTGTAAGCGACTTCCACTGCAGGGTAAATCATTGCTTTGCTCGTTATTTCATGCAGGGTCACCCTGAGACCTCAACACAACCTAGTGTGATTGTGTGCGTGCACTGGTGTGCCTTCCGATGATGCTTGCAGCGTGTGGAGACGGAGGACGACTGGTGCTAAACTGTCCTGTGCAGTGCATTAGTGATAGATCACCAAGGCCAAGGGCGACCGAGAGCAACTCAGTACAGCATACAGTAATTATTGAAATGCAGTCTCCCAGTGAGTACTTTTAAACTGGTTTAGTTGCTTACTGTCTTATCGAATGGCCGAGTTCGCCGCAGCTTCTGAGTTTTTGGTTTAGTTCTCACTGCTGTACAGCTCTTGCAAGATTAGAATACATCTGATCATGCATGGTACCTTGGTATTGGTATTGGTTTGATGATGTGTTAACAGCCCGTACAAGAGACTTTACTACTTCTTGCATGGTGCCTTGACAACTGCAGCGCATGTACTGGTATCCAGAATACTGGAGGCTGAGAATATACAGTCATGTAACTGTTCAAACTCACATGCATGCCTCACGCCGCCTGCACATTCATCTCTTCACCTCCACACTCCCCCATGCACTCTCGCTATATAGCAGACTGCCATGATAAGTCAATTTGATTTTGGAGAATCCTTTTTAAAATACAAGTAAGATGAACAACAGCATCTAACAATGCGGTATGCCACGAATCCCATCGTGTGGTTTACATCCTGTAAAAGTTATATTTTGGTTACACCCGCGGCTCAGACCATGCGCTGATTTACGGCCTATTAAACCAGTCACTTCACACCATTCTTACCCTCGCTGCGTGTCTGGATAGCAAGACTGCTGTCAGTCAGAACAGAGACTCTACTACTGGTATCCGATCAGTCGTCGCGGTTACGGATGTAGCACCGACTCTGGTCGCTGGTTGGTTACGACGAATCTCTCACCTCACTCTCCCTGACAAGAGCAGTACGAACGCTCTGCTCCTGAGGTTTGATTACAACACATTGTAGTACTTCACGTGGAGTACTAGTAGCCAGAGACTCAGCAGCCCTTTCCACCTTCAACGAAACGCAAGATTCAGCTGCTGCTGCTACTTAGATTCTACACGCCAACAACTCCAAGTGGGATATGAACCTGTGGTTGCTTGATCAAGTATCAGAATCCCAAGCTGGGGAATATACTCCGTATTCCAAGACCATAGCACCGTGTGCCGGTTATTCGCCTAGCCATATGCAGTGTACTAGTACTCGTTGGAATCATACCTTCTGCCGGAAAAGCCAAACCTACACACGAACAGCAGCACGTTGTCGTTAGGGCGCAGACAACATTGAGAAGAGTGCAAGAATTTGTGTGAGCAAGGGTCGACGAGTTCACCCCTTGTGTGGGCGCGGGCGCGTGTGGGTATGTGCGTCGGTGGTCAGATGGTGAGGTGAATGATACACTGACTAGTAATAGTATAGCAGTGATCATATGCACCCCGTACCCGTGATCATTTCCGCTGGCCTCGCCGTACCCTGCTCCAACTGTGCATCCTCTAGACCAGTCAAGCGTAACAACGACACCTCCATTGACGACACCTGATTTTCATCCGAATTTGTGAAATCCTGGCTTACCCGTATGCACAATGATGCTGTAGCTACGAAGTACGAGTACACCTGGTACACGACTGTGTGAAAAGAGTGTTCATCGCGAATTCCTGATCAGAGATGGAGCAACCGCTAACGTAACTAGTTACGTTCATCAAACACACGGCTGTGGTACAGCAGGCACTATGGAAATTAATGCTAAGTAAGGTCAAGTTAGCACTGACCACAAAATCCGTTGATCCCCGAGCTGCAGAGAGTGGGGCAGTCAATGTCATAGGCCGACCCTTTAATTTTAACAGGTTTGTTGATGGAGTTCAGTTGTCTGGTGTTTGCCTTACGACTTTTGTTTGTGTTGTTTGTATACTTTATTTGAATTCGCTAATCCAAACGAGCACAAATGCTCAATGACAAGGCAGCGAATATGTTATTGGCTTGAACCTCGGAGTTACAAACCAACCTGAACGTCCCCCTTTTTCCCTTTGCTCAGTCTGCTCTTGTACTAACACTGACCAGTACTGGCAGTAGCAAAGCTCAACGGCCACGGGCCTGAGGGCTTAGCTGAGGTCACTGGCAGCATGCTCCATGCTCGCTGAAACTCGTGCGCGAATGTACTTGTATCATTAATTTTCTCCAGTGGCGTGCACCGAGTCTTGAAAGGGAGGTTTCTAGAGTTGGAAATTTTTTCTGTAGATATAGTTATGTATTTGTGAACAGGCGCATCCCTCCAACATCCCGTCGGAGATAACCATGATAACGGCGAGGGCTAGGGAGGAGGGGGGGACTCAAGATTAGGGGTGCAGGGCACCAATGAACACTGGTGCTGATGAGCAGGGGGGACTCAAGATTAGGGGTGCAGGGCACCAATGAACACTGGTGCTGATGAGACGCGGGGCTCCGACTGCTATCATCAGATCATTCCGGCACAAACGCGTCTGAGAGGGAACCAGGTCCAGGGGTAGAAAGGACAGAAATAGGAGCAATGAGAAATGGAGGGAGGGGACGATGTTGCATGGAAATGTTGGTACATAAACCGGTAGCAGGATAAAATGGGTACGGGTTACCTTTTACATACCAGCACTTGAAAAAGTATTTGCAAAGAGGGTGCAAAAGTCAATGTACTCATATACATGTTTGTCATATTGAACACGTAAAACTAAAAGTTTGATAGGCCTAGCCGCCCAGGCTACACTACAGACAGTCTATAACACTATGACATAGTGTTATAGACTGTCTGTAGTGTAGCCTGGGCGGCTAGGCCTATCAAACTTTTACTAGGGATTCCAGTCAAAATTTCAAATTCATAATTCAAGCTAGCTTGTTCTTGGACAATGTCACCAAGGAAATGAGAAATCCTATGGTACCAATTTTATCAAAATCGGTCCAGGCATTCGAAAGTTATAGCCATTTTTCTACCATCGACATTGTCGATGGTACTTCACTAGTCCACTCCAGGCTTGTTCTTTTCATCAAAACACTGCTTACACATTCGACGTATCTTTTCTTTCTGTTCTTATGACGAAGTTTTCAGCATGTATTGGCAATGTTCCACATGATTTCAATAAAGAGTTATGGACCTTGCTTCGATGGACGCTCGCGGAAGAAAAGCGAAGCCCCGCGTCCTTGATTCGCGGCCGGAGCAGCGCAAGTGGATCATGGACGCACATTTTTACGTCCTCCAGTCGACAACGTTTTTGACGAACATCTCTGCTGCGCACATGAGCGAGAACGAAAGGCTGTGGAGATCTTGATTTGAGTCAACAGTGTGGAAGGAGATATCGTCAATCATACCCTTGAACTGACTTGCATCGCGCAGGCTTGACTCAAATTTCGAGACAAAACGGATTTCTTGAATGTCATCGCCAATCCAGGAGCGAACCAGAGCTAGAGATCGATCTCTCTGTGGCTACTCTCCACTGAAGAAAGAGAGAATAATGTATTTTGAACTGCATGCAAAGCAACTCTCTCTCACTTCGAAATAAGGACATAGTCACTGTACTGTGAGCTGCCCGTCGATCGACGCATATGCAGGATAACCAATCCAGGAGGCACGCTTTTCCTTTGGCAAGATTGCCCGAAAAAAGGTGGTTTCCAGACACCAAAAAACTCATACGGTGCACGCGCCTAGCGCCTGACTACAGTGTATAGCACGGGCATGAAAGCCCACACAAACTACTGAGTATGCTATTGTTGCAGCTCACCCTGGCTATACCATGCACAGAACAGTGCAATATGTGTCCCACCATGACGTCATTGTTTTCACAGGTTTCAGTAGATCGATAGTTGGTCCACATGAGAGGGGGGGGGGGGGGATGTGCTCGGTCGAGATGTTCTTGAACCAATTGGCACTTACAACAGTACTAGTAGAGAAGGTTGGCAATGGTTTCTACTTCATGCTTTTCAGTGTGTGAGACTTCATTCAGACACTCTTTCTCTCTTTCTTCAAGTTCTGCTTCTTTGTAGGAAATCAGTGCATGGTGTTTCTTTGTAGGAAATCAGTGGTTGTTTCTTGTAGGAAATCAGTGCATGGTGTTTCTTGCGTACATACCTTCACATGCGGTTGCTTTATGCCTTCCTTCTTTTTGGTGGCTGCTGTTGCTAATTTGGATTGGAATAAAAGCGATTCGCCCCGTAGGTTGGTAATTGAAATTGCACTGTACGGGGTATCCAGCTACATGTACAGTTGGCTACAAAATTAATACAAGTCGACTTTGCACCGTACTCACTCGATTCTGGCTGCACGGTAGGCACATCCTATACCCAGGCCATTTGACCCAAGCATGCACATACTGAAGGACTGAGTAAGATTGTTTTTCTGGCGGGGGGGGGGGGGGGGTACACATGCCCCATGTGCCCCTCACGGGCTACACAGTTCAGTTCATGCCACACTCGCTCTGTGTTGAGAACTTGCATGAATTTATTGCTCAAAGCATTATCACATTGCCATTTTCAAGTGCGGAACAAATTTGAGAAAGGAAAGTGGAAGATCAAGGGAAATGCTGAAGCAGAGACAGCCTGATTTGTATTGTCTCGAATCAATTCTGGCAAACCTTGCGGATAGAGGCGAGAATCCTGTGGGAACAAATAACACAGGCATGTGCACAAGGAATCAATATCATGGGAGAGCCTAGCATATCTGATACGGTCCTCCTGTTCAACTCATAGCATTGCACACATATCTTCATGTTTGAAGGGCATTGTTACATTGAATACCAGCACAGGACCAGTAATCACAGTAGGGAGGTTTCGCTCTACGTGATTACGTATGAGAATTACGTCCTGGTGGGTCTGGCATCCTGGTGGGCCCGGCATTTTTTTCTCTTTTCAGGCAGTTCGCTTCCCCGACTGATCCTTTCTACTATACTCGGCATTTGCTTCTGTGCATACATTCCTTTTGTTTCAGGGAAACAACATGCTAGTGGGCTAAGCAGTGCTACCGTAACTGAGCCCATTTCAGCACAGACATTATCTGATGGCTCAATATGGACGTCGGGTATACGGTAGCATAGGGATGCCACTGATCAAATAGATACAGTCAACCCCGTGAACAAAGACCTCAGGCATAACAGCAGCTCGTGAATAACGACACCATCACGGACCAACTCCGCAACTTGACTGTATACTCTTTTAACCTTGCAAATAACGACAACTCACGAATCACAGCACTTTCCTCGTGCCCGCTTAAAAGGGTCGTTACCTGCAAACTTGACTGTACATGGGAATAACTCACCCAGATGTGGAGAAACTCTTGTGATTACACATGTTAGCCAAAGGATGGACTTGACGAAGAGCGAAATCAGTCTGTACACATGTAAATAGATAGGAAGATAGAGAAAAACGGGAAACAGTGGAGAGGAGCTCAGCTACTGACAACCTGCACCTCCAACAGGAATCATCCATGTACTGGTTGGCATGGAAACAACAGGAGAACTAACCAATTGGAACCCACACAGAACAGGCACAGCAGTGCCAAAAGACAGAAAAGGCACTGATCCACTCATCAACTCTGGCGAGTTGCTACTCTGCTCGTACATGACAAGCGCATGGGTGAATGCACAATGCATGCATTCTAATTGACTGGGCCAGCTTGGGCCGGTCCAAAGTCAAACTAACCTGCGGCAGACTGAAGCACTTCTCGCTGTACTCTGTCGTCACAGCCTTAAGACAGCCATAGTCACGGGGCTGGGCCTTAGCAGTCAGGATCTGCTTGACCACGTCATTGCTGGCAGCACCTGCACCGCTGACAATCTGCCGTGTGACTTCAGAGATTTTGTTACGAAGCTGCAGGCACATCAGCAGCAAAACACCAACACCATAATAATCGAATAAGCGACGCGGAGACAATAGTCTTATTACGGCAATGAGCAATATTAGTGAGGTAGGCGTGGTGAAAAAGAAAAAAAAGTGCATCTACATGCAAATTTTCTTTTAATCGATTTTCATAAGACACTCACTAGGGATTGTTGGGACGGCTGTCCCTGATGCGTGTCCCATGGGAAGCGATTAGGAAATTTTGCATTTTGATTCACTATACTCTTTTCGTAACACGGAAAGTTGTGGGCACAAGCTGTGTGATCGAGTTCACCAAATAAACCAGATGTTGAACAGTCATATGTGCACAAGCTAGCACAAAACTGACAAGGAGTATTGAGACATTCCACGGCATGACTTCATGGAGACGAATCACGTCCTGTCAGAACGGCAATTTGGATTCCGTCGCGGCCACAGTGCAGCAGACCTGCTGACTGCTCTCCACCACCAGTGGGTGCACACCGCCGGAGATAAAGGAGCTTCTCGAGTGCTGGCCATCGACATTGCTGGAGCATTTGACCGGGTGTCTCACACTGGTGTGTTGCACAAGGCTAGAGTGTATGGCATCTCGGGAGACCTGCATCGGTGGCTCCAAGACTACCTCTGCAACCGCACACTCCAAGTCCTCATCTCCGGCCAGACATCAGCCAGACGCCCAGTTAAGGCTGGGGTGCCACAGGGCAGTATCCTGGGCCCCACCTTATTCTTGGTCTACGTCAACGACCTTGAAGACCACCTCCCAATCGGCTCCAACCTTGCCTCATTCGCCGATGACACAACCCTATACGCCGAAATTGCAACGATCGCTGCTGTTCCTGACAACGCTAGAGTACTCCAGGCTGCTGTCGACCTAGTATCCAGTTGGGGCTCGGATTGGAAAGTGCAGTTCGAGCCAGCCAAATCTCAGGCCCTTACAATTTCCCACCATCGTCGGGACTGGCCAATACCCCCATTGTCTTCAATGGAACTCCTGTCGAGGAGCAGCCCTCCATCAAAGTACTCGGCGTCACGTTTGACCATCAGCTAAAATTCAGCCAGCATATCCGAACTGTTGTAGTCCGAGCAACGCAGAGACTTGGAGCCTTGCGCAAGGCATTTCACTTGCTGACTATTCCTGCCCGGCTTCGAGCCTACAAAGCCTTTGTCCGGCCGGTTATGGAGTACTGCCCAATCGTCTGGATGGGGGCAGCTCCTTCCCACTTGAATCGGCTGGACTGGGTGCAGGAGCGAGCCATCAAGGCAATACATCCGCAATGCTGGCTTCCTAGCCTCATAATTCGCCGCACCATCGCTGCCCTCTGCCTCCTGTATAAAGCCCTTTGCGATAATTCTCCCGCTCTTCTCTCGAGAATGGCTCCACCCCCGGCACACCAACCCAGGACCACACGCCTCACCCGCCAGGCTGTACGACTGTCCACCGCGCATCCCCATCAGTTACAGAATGTTCTTCCTGCCAATTCCCGGAACAATGTGAGCCGAGCCTTTCCCTACTCCGTCATCCCAATTTGGAACCAGCTGCCTACCTCTATCATTCCCACCCATTTCACCCAAAGAACATCCAAAAGTTCAAGACAGCAGCTTATCACCATCTCCTCAGAACGAACTGGCACTGGGCCACTCATAGCATACGCGAGTAAGAGGGTACAGTGTCCTACCCTGCTTGGACATACATGTAATCTCTCCTCACGGGCAGTCTCCTCTTGAATTTAAAAGTCTAACAGCGTTCACATCAATACTCAACTTATTCTTTGGCTCACTGAGCAATACAATCTTTCCATTTTCTTTCTTCTGTTTTCTTTTTCAATTTAATCCTCCCCACCCAATATCCCTTTGGTGCGTCCATGGAGCTATGAAGCCGAGACCTCTGGTCGGCGGAGCTTAATGGGCCCCACCACCACACTCCATCATTCACCCCAGTGTCTGGAGATATGTGGATTTTGTAGAAAAAAAAAGAAAAAAAATGAAAGTCAGCTTGAGTACTGTTCGATAGTGGTAACCAAACGTCTGACTGTTCAAAATCTGGCGGACTCGATCTCATAACTTGTGCCCACATTTTTCCATGTTACAATTTTTCCTTGGCTCACCATCTGTGTTCTTATATACTCTTTTTTGTTTTGTTTTTGCAATGGCCACCACACTAATACTATTCATTGCTGTAATACACCATAACTATAATAGCAATAAAGTGAACTCATTGATACCAAGACACCAGAGAAACAATATTCTAAAACGTCGTATTCATATATTCATAGTATCTTCAGAAATCTTCATCAAAATGAGAGTTGGACTAGCAAAGGAAATAAATAGGGTACCAGAAAGTGAATAAAATTGGATCCAAAACTAGTACGAGAAGCACTGATATCCTAAAAAATTTATAGCAATTTTGAGAGCGCGATTACAAGGCAAGCAGTGGTATGAGCAAGTGCGGAGTGAAGAGGTGCAAGTGAGAAAGCTGCATGCATGTGAGTGAGTGAGTGAATGAGTGTTGTTGTCATATGAAGATTGAGTCTATATATATTGTTCCTCTGGTGTCGTAGTATGAATGCTCTCACCTTATTCCTATCTATAACAGGTTTCTTGTCTTCTCGCCACTTTGATTATTATCCAAAACTCGATACTATAATAATAACTACAGAAGTGGGTGATTTTTGTCAACAAAACGTGCTGTAAAGCATGCTATCAACGAGTCGCAATTTTAACTATTGTCCAAAATAATTCATAGGTTAACGAGAAGATATGTTAACGATCTTGCAGTCTTCAGGCGTATCCGCATATAACACATGCAAGGTATCACAGCCGCAACAGAACATATTACAAGGAAGAAATGTCACACGTTAAGTTAGATTTACTTCCTCGTCATAATTTAGGTCTTACACTATTCATTGGTTTGAGAAAATTTTTTACAGCATTACCAAGAATATAATAAGCTCCCAAGAGTGTGCAACTCTGCATACAGGATCTCTGACTGCAAAAACTCACATCACGTGTTCAAAGTACGATTTGTACTATGTACAACGATGGCTAGCGTACACGCAATTCCGAATACCTGCCATGATCATGACGAGGATGCACCCAAGCTGAGCGGGTTTCTGTCAGGGAGTGCTATTTTTTAAACTCCACTGGTCTCTAAAACGGGCTGGGAACGTACAACGTGAACACTACACCACGTGAAGTGAGTTTTCGCCGTCACCAGACCCCAAACAGGCGCGCGTGCGCCGGTGCCCTTCAAGGGAGGTTTCCGGGGGGCCTCCCCCGGGAAATTTTTCAAAAATGAAGCAAAATCCTGCATTTTGAGCGAAAAAAGGGGGGGGGGTCCGGGCACCCAGGAACCCATACGGGGCACGCGCCTGCCATAGAAAGGGAATCCAGAGTTTCACACTCTTGGGAGTTAACTGAAATTTCACAACTTTTTCGTTGCACTTTTAGTTTCGGTACTTTCCGTGCATCTGTTTCGTACCTAAATTTTCAATAAACCGAAAAAAACACTAACACACAATCCAATAGGAATCTGCTTCTCTGTACCTAAAATTTCTGTTCACCTAGCCTGCCCTTTCGCCCTCATACCAAAAATACTGGGCACCTCTTATTAGTAATTTCTGAAATTAGAGTACCTGTATGATTATTATACTCTTGGTATTACAAGTGTGGAAAGCACCTTACAGTCAGCTCTTCGGCAAGTTGAGAACGCAGCTTTGCTTTCTGCACTTCAGTGCTTGCAGCTGCCAGGCGATGGTAAAGGGTGGCCGGAATAATGTCTGGCGATTGGATTGCGGCAGTTGATGCTGCCGGCTGAACAGCAACAACAGAGAAATACAAGAACTGAGTAGGGTGCCAATTTACTTATCAAATTCTTCCTTTTCAGTACCTGAATTTTGCTCTACTCCTCCACAAATTGCAAATTGTGTTTTGTTTGCCCGTAAAAGAGGTTTCTGACTATGTTGACAAATACAAGACCTGAACTCATTACAAGAGGCTCACAGCTCCGTCCCTGGAAGAATGGCACATGCTATTCTGTTAGCTGTATAAAGCCACATCTGTACCGCGAGGGTATGGAGGGATAAGCCGCAAGGCTGTCACGCGTGTAATCCTTCACCTATCGATCTCTCTGCAGGTCAACGATCCATTACTCAATCACCACTGCTAGAAAACTGTGCGAGGTTTCTCCACTGAAATCAAAAAGCCAGGGAACTGTATAAGTCTGGTCGCAACACGGCATATTTGTGGCATGTGCTGCATCAGAATTCAGTGTTTTGCAGTGTTCCTATTTACACATCATACCGGCACAGCAGCTAATGAGAGTGCTGTCTTAAATCCCACCTTTCCGGTCATGGTCATGATATGCTTGTCGATAGTATTTCCCTGCACACCACCAATAAATTCTTGAATCTCCTCAGATTCAAATTCCTATTCATAAACGACAACGACGACAGCAGCAGCAGCAGCAGCAACAACAACAACAACAACAACAACAACAACATTAGCAAGATTAAGTGGGAAACAAGATGAGAGCACGACCATCACGACCAGATAAATTCACAAATTCACAAACTGATCTGAAAGGAAAAGGAAAACGTGAACATAGACAAAGACACACTCAAGCTGCTAGGCAAAGTTTGCCTTATACAGGCAGCAGCAGAGTTGGAGAGAGAAGGAAAGCTGGAGAGGGGGCATACAGAGTACATTCCCCCGCCCCTCCCCCAGCACACACACACACACATACACACACACACACACACACACACACACACACACACACACACACACACACACACAGCGGCATTGTTCGATACTGTTTTGGATTGCATGCATGTAATCTAAGACACTGTGATGTTGCACATAACATGCATGCAATCCATAATGGATTGCATGCATATTATGTGCAACGTCACACTTACATGCATGCAATCCAAAACAGATAAGCCCGTTGCCGTTGGCGACATGCATTAAAAAGTACCAGGCTGCAGCCAACCCTGATGACCGACTTGCAATGGAGAAAGGCACCCATCTTCTCCAAGAAATGTCACTAGTATTGCAAGAGCTGCCAGAGCAGATTCCACGGAGACAGTGGCACAGTTTACTCAGTCACTCCACCACCACTATGCATCAGCAGCGCATAACACCCCGCTACTTTGACAACTGTTTTTCCATGACTGTTCACTTTTTTAAGACTCCCTCATGCTCAAACTAACGAATGTATTGTAGAAGCATTATATCGGTGCTGGAACTACACAATAGACGGTATACTAAGAAACTTGCTCATTGACTTGACAGCGCATTGCATACCAACTGCATACACAGTTCAAAGAGGCACATGCCCTGCATAAAAGTAGGCAACGGACAGTTCACTGGACAGGAGGGACAAAGAGCTTGGGCTCTGCGATGACATGCCAATAGCTAACACAAGTGCACGAAACCAAGCTGTCTTAAGTGCTGAACAACCCTGAAGTGAGCAGTTTCACCTTTCTTGTAGAGACACAACTACAAGTAGGCGTCTCCGAATGAATATAAGGGAAGTTAGGGAACACACCCCATGACTTCCCCTAAAAACATTGTTTATATCAAACAATGCATTTTCACCAGTACACATCCAGATGTTCGACTACATGATCGACTCTCACGGTAGACTCAGAAAAAATTGCAAAACACAGAAAGAAAAGTCTCCCTGTTGCTTGAAACGGGCAATAACTTGGTCAACCTGAGTTCTGTTCGTCCAAAGTCTTGTGCCCGCAGTCACCCAAAAATGAACACCACCGTGCCAATAAGTAGAACCTCTCACTCTCACTCTCCATCTGCATCTCTCTCTCTCTTTCTCTCTCTCTCTCTCTCTCTCTCTCTCTCTCTCTCTCTCTCTCTCTCTCTTTCTCCCCCCCCCCCCTTTTCTCTCTCTATATCTCTCTCTCTCTTCATTGACCAAGAAGATAACACGACATTTGTAGACACGGGCTTTTTGTTACTACAGTAGACAGATTAGCCGCACCCCTCGGGGCACTGGCTGTCTCCAGGGGGTTTGGATGAGAACAATGTTCGGATAAGGGAGCAGTCACACAGCAATCTAAAACATGCACATTCCTGCATGTAGAACTCAGATGGTGAGCCAACGAAAAATATTGTAACATGGAAATTGTGGGCACAAGTTATGCGATCTTGTGCCCACAATTTCCATGTTACAATTTTTTTTATTCCTGCATGTATTCATCATTGTTCTTGTTCTTTGGAAGTACAACAGGATCTAGGCGCACTCCAGCTCCTCAAAATAGCACTATGGTGTTCGACTCCAACCTGTTGTAATACGTCTTCTGCACCGCTTGAATGGTGTTCCGGGTGGGGAAACTCAGCAAGACTCATTTGTCTGCCCTTCCATTCAATGCAAGCAAGCATTTCGGATCATTGATCATGTGGATAGTTGACAAGTATGTGAAAGTGACAACGCCGATATGGCACCGAACAATATAATCCTGACTCCATACATCGCAGCTGCAAGGCAAAGCAGCATATGGTGCTGGAATCGGCAAGACCACTCATGACTTACAAAGTCGCCAAATCTAGAGACATGGCTAGTGGACACATCCATTCTCACTTCTAGGAACTGGCGAAAGAGATCTTCATTAGTGCCATTCTACAGAGGTGAAAAAGTCACAACATCAGTCAAAAGAAAGACTGTGTTGCACACCAAGAGGTACAAAATGCAAACGACAGTAGAAGACGCGATCAACACGATTCCCCATGGTGTTTGAGTGGGAGGAATTCCTACGATCGACTGGGAGCGAATTCCTACAATTGACTGGGAACAAATTCCTACGATTGACTGGGAAGGAATTCCTACGATTGACTGGGAAGGAATTCCTACGATTGACTGGGAAGGAATTCCTACGATTGACTGGGAAGGAATTCCTACGATTGACTGGGAAGAAATTCCTACGATTGACTGGGAAAGAATTCGTACAATGTGTGTTTGATCCAGCTCTCACCTGTTCTGTATTCTCCATCCATTTGGCACTGAACACATCTGCAAGGTATATCCCTCGAGTCTTATCAAAATAGCATGCAAGTGAGGGTTGGGAAGCATTTGCGGCAGTCATAGCGTAAATTGAGAGGTTCTTGGGCAGCAGGTCCTGTGTGAACATGGAGCCTGATTCACAGGCCTCCAAGTAGAAAACCAGCTGCTTGTACATGTTGCGCTTGTACATTCGATGCAAACTGAGGCTCAGGTCATCTGCGTAAAGCTGAAGGAACCAAGAGCGCGCACACATGTGCACGCATACACACACACACACACACACACACAAACATACACACACACACATACATACACACACAGATATGCGTATGCACACACATACCGGCACACACTCAAAGATCCTCACACACATAAACTCACACACACACACGTGCACACACACACACATACCGGTACTCTCACATGATTACACACACACACACACACACACACACACACACACACACATGGGCGTAGGAGGGGTTTTGGAAGTGGTACGACCGAAGGTCGGCGCGGCCGAAGGCCGTGTTGGAGGGGGTCCGGGGGACCTCTCGCGGGAAAATTTTGTAAAAAATGACACAAAATCCTGCGTTCTGGGAACTTCTGGCACACTTTTGGCACAGTTTAAGTCATGGAATTTCACGGTCAGAAGAGACGTGCATGGACACGTAGGAGATGAAGTATTATAGTGTGGTAGAGCATGGTGATACAGAAAACTTCTAAAGTCCACTAGCTTCAGATTATCACAAGCTTCCCTCATGATGTTGAGCATGGCGCAGTGATTCAATCGCTGCTGAGACATGGTTGATCTCAAGTAAGTCTTGAGACAGCGAAGTGCAGAGAATGAGCGCTCACTTGTGGCATTTGTTGCTGGTGAAACAATAATCAGCTTCAGCAGCACCATCACTTCACTCATGTATGCGCCATGAGCCGGAGGTCTGTCACATACGCCATGATATCGGCCAAGCCAACGCTGCCAGAAGACTGAAACTTGGACGCCAAGATGCTCAGTTGGCTATCCAGCATAGCGAATTTGAGATCATCTTTCCACATTGTCTCCACACATATTTTCTCTTGCTGGTAAGACTTTCCAGAAGCTGCCTTCAGAAGGAGGTCCTCCAGCTGTTGATACTGCTTCAAGCTTGGCTGATCGAATCGTTCCCGAATGGAATTGATGATGGTGTCAATGGCTTGGTAGAACATGGGACGGAAATGGTCTTCCACGCAGGATGGGAATGGCGGTGTTGAGGAGCCAACTTCCAATCGGGCAGGAGCTTTCCGTCGGCGTGGCATTTCAGGCTCACCTACATCAAGGGACGACTGCCTCGTAAGGACACTACTCCAGAACTTCGAGAACTCATCTTCGCTGCGAAGCTTTTGAAGAGCCCGTATTGTCTCTTGCGCCAGACGTTGACCATCCGCAGCAGACAATGACTTTTGCTGCACGGCTACACTGAGGTTGTCAGCAACTTGTAGGACTAAATGGCCAAGAGACACACCAAAGAGGAAAGGGAACGACGACAGCTGGGATCGCACACCATTGCACTTCGCTGACATCTCATGGTCACATTTCGCCATTTCAGTGAAGCGATCCAGACTTGCCTGCAAAACTTCATAGTTCACAAGAACACTGTGCAGAGAGGATGTTCGGACAGTCCACCGGGTCGGACAAAGGGTTCGAAACCCAGGCTCCTCTGGAGCAATTTCCTTCTTCAGTCGATCGAACTCAGCGGTACGTTTGGCAGAGTACTTAAGCAGTTTGCTCAGCTCGAATGTTGTATCCAAGGCATCCTTCACTGCTTTCACCTCACGAACCATATCCTGACAGGCAAGGTTCAATGAATGCCCATAACAGTGCGTAAACAGTGCCTTTGGCTGCTCCAATAAGATCTGCTGTGCGACACCATTCCTTACACCCTTCATTACAGCAGCCCCATCGTAACACTGACCTCTGCAGTCCGCCAAGCTGAGTCCAATGCGAAGCAAGCAGTCGTGTATGATTTTCACGATGGTATCAGCATTGGCAACTGGGATGGCGTAAAACCCAATGAAGTCCTCGTGCGGCTGCAGTGTGTCGTCCACCCAGCGAATGACTACAACGCATTGCTCGACAGTGGAGCAGTCGGTTGTCTCATCTACCATTAAGGAGAAGAAACTGCTGCGGATGTCAGCTGCAACTTGTCGCAGTACACGATGGTCCATCAGCTGCAGGATTTCATTTTGTATCTGAGGACTTGTATACTTCTCAGAGCGACGGTCCAGCCATCCCATGAGGTGGTCATCGCTCTCAGCAAATATGGCGAGCAACTGCATGAAGTGCCCATCAACTTCACCATCTTCCTTAGTTGCGCCTCGAAGAGGACGTCCTTGCCTGGCCAGAAACTTCAGGGCCCGCAGGATCTTGAAGAAGCACTGGCGGTGTTGCTGTCGTTGTTTCGGTAGTTGCGAGTCTAACAGCTCCCCAACATCACCGACCGCTTGCGGGATTTGCTGTAAGCGCTCCACAGCCTCCCTGTGACATCCTGATATAGCGTGGCCTGTCATCACTCGCTTTGCCTCTTTCCAATTCTGGAAGCCTGTCGAGATAAATGCCGAATCCGCATTTCCTGAAGAGATCAGATTCTGCTTGGACGCACGTACGCAAGCGTAGGAAAACACTTTCTCGCTGCCTAGGATCATGCATGAACTGGTGCATGTGTAGCGGGCCGCAGTCTCTCTCTCGGAGGCAAATGCACACGGGTCTCAGTGAACACACTGTTGTTTATTATTACTGAACTAAAGACTGGATTGAAGGTTGAACTCCAACTCTAAACTGAAACAAATGTTACTTAAATTGAATTGCGACAGCAGCTTTTATAGGGTGAGAAACCGTTAGTGTAAGTAAGCTAGCCTAGGCTATATCCAGGGGATACGTAGAGCAGAAGAAGAAAGGTCAAAGTAAGATGTGTGGGCCACAGTCATTGCACAAGGAATGCCATTAGATTCTATGCAGAAGAAACAGCTGAATACGATGTGGGCAATGGGCGTAAAAGAGGTACCGGGAAGGCAGCCATTAGGAATTCTAAGGAAGCTTCATTAGAATGTGTGTAGATAAATGAAAAGGAGGTCGAAAGTGAAATGGATCAAAAAGGTCTACAGGGTACATGTGTTAGTATTCCTCAGGTCATCCTAATGTGTGGGAGTAATACATGAACACAGTGAGACTAGTTACTATGCACGTCATGGGTCTGCAAGCACGGTAGTAAGAGTTGCAAGTGCGGGTGCGGTGCGGTGCAACACGCGTGACCAATACATTGAAAGTGATTCACGCTGCAGCTGCGTTAAAAGTAATAATCAAAAATTTAGTTACTGGCGTGCCAACGCTACACGTACACATATACATGCACCATGCCAGTGCAGTCGAATCGAGTACAGTACTCAGCACGACTGCAGGTGCTTTGCAGATCTACAAGTAGACCTACGAGTCTAGAAAAAGGTCAAAGTCTGATGCGCATATGCATCGATGGATCCTGATTTTTTTTTATTACGGTTTTGCACGTTCCGGACGGACCACACTTTTCGAAAAGTGGTACGGCCATGGTCGTACCAGTCGTAGCGGGTGCTACACCCCTGACACATCATGCAAACACACATGCAAACACACACACACACACACACACACACACTCACACATCAACACCAGAGTTCAGCGGACATGACATAAATCACAAATTTCTCATTTCTGGCTTAATGTGCAGATTTACTCTTGCTTGAACAACAACAGAAGTTGGCTACTCCCAGCGATAACAGTACAATGAAACAGTTAGTTCTGGCCGGTAATTGTTTTAAAAATCCAATTCACAGCAACACCCATAGTATCAGTTTTATACTTACACTATTTTGTCATCATTTGTCATCTAAGAAGTTATTGTTTATAGCGAGTGTACAAGTGGTTAAGGTGATGTTTCGCTGAAGTCACTTTAGCCTCGTCAGATGATACTTGAATCCATAGGCTCACCTCGTGCTGTACTGTTTGGAATACTTGACACTCAGGTGGTGCTGTAAAATCAGACTTCTTTTAAAAGAATGCAATGAATAAAACTAAATGCGCACTCATATCGCAACCATGGCAACGAATAAAGTATTCCAGAACGTTTTCTTGTCACAATTATCAATGGAATTCGTGGCTAAAGGGAATGATGAAACTACAATAGGATTTATACACTTGGATGTTCTGGAGTATTTTATTCGTTGCTATGGTTGTGATATGAGTGCGCATATAGTTTTATTCACTGCATTTATTAATATTAACTCCACGTCGCCTTTTTAAATCTTTTAAAATAATTTGTATTTTGTAGACTTGGACATCACTAAAACTACATACTTGTACATGTGTGTGTGTGTGTGTGTGTGTGTGTGTGTGTGTGTATGTGTGCGTGTGTGTGTGTGTGTATGTGTGTGTATGTGTGTGTGCATGTATGTGTGTGTGTGTGTGTGTGTGTGTGTGTGTGTGTGTGTGTGTGTGTGTGTGTGTGTGTGTGTGTGTGTGTGTGTGTGTGTGTGTGTGTGTGTGTGTGTGTGTGTGTGTGTGTCTACAGTATTGGGTACTTGCACATGTACTGTATTGCACCACATAGGTGGTTGAATATGGTTCTGGTTGTTCTGTTTAACCCTTTACCGGCAGCCCCATACTTGAATGCGTCGTAAACGACGCATTCGACATGCATACTAAAACCATGCCTGGTATGACAGGAAGCATCAGCCCACGGGGATTTCCCGTGGCCCTCACACAGCCTGGGTATGATCCTACCCGTAGCTGAAGAGATCTACGCGTGTCCCATTTGATTTCATTGAGAACTGCGCGATCGAAAACTTACGGAAATACACGCGCGCCGACAATGCCGTCTGCCTCCGTCAAAACGTCGTCAGATGCATTTCCTCTTGCGCAGTGAGTTCCTTTCGTCCTCAGATGACTTCTCCGACGAGGACCTAGCAGACCTTCGCTCTGGGACCGACGACAGATAGATAAAAACTTCGTTCCAGCCACCGATGCAAGCAAATTTCAAATTGCGGAGCGGAGCGTACGCCAAGTAAATTCTCGCGCAAATATCGGGAGCTCCAGCCGCTGAAGACGATGTCATCGTGATGTACCTGGAAGAATATGATGGTGCTTATGGTGGGAAAGTCATCGAGAGTGATCCCCGTGTCGACATTCTCCCAGAGACGGAGTTTTAGGCCATCGACTTTCTACGTACCTGAGTGACGGCAGCGCAGCGCGACTTGCGCACGACCTTACGGAGCCATCGGACAGCGATTCTGGGGCGATGATGCTCTCAATTGCGAGCGAGGCACGTCAACTGAAGTCTATGATGGCTATGGCGTTCGTTTCCGCTCCGAAGTCGACTTGTTTTGGCAGTATCATGTCAACGTCGGAATCTGACGATTTGCACTATGTACAATTTCCGTGTTTAGACGTATAGGTGCCAATTTAGCAGCGTATGTGTGTGGTATGTGAAAATAAATTTTTCCATGGTCAAGAAGTAGTACCAGAGTTCCAAGAAAACATAACTTGCACATACAAAATGTGCCCTCGTTGTGAGTTATTGGCATCCTTCTCAATGTTATGGATTTCATATACAAAATGCACTTGCCGGTAAAGGGTTAATTTCTTACAAAACTGGAAGGAAAACCAATAAGACCCGGTCCTCCATGATCGGCAAAGTAGATGAAGACGTGATCGTCGGGACCACTGCAAAAGACAAACAAACGACAGTGAGCGAAACGCAGCTTAGTAGTATACATGTATCCACATAAAAAAGTGGTCCATTTTCTCTTCGATTTTGCTCAAATTTTCAGGACTTAGGCATAATGGGCGGGGTGAGGGGGGGGGGGGGAGGGGGGGTGCATATCAAAGTTTAGCTCGTGTGAAGTGACTCCTTTTTGATGTGTAGGCCACTCGTCCTCGATTCTAGGGCTCATTTCAGACTCAGGACTCAGGTCTCAACAGTCAATCACATTTCTCATGACAGCCTTACAGTGTTGCAAGTACATGTACTACGATATAATGTAATTATGGTATTAGCAGATCGTGGGAATCGGCTGTTCCCTCCTACCCATCACATATTGAGCATTCAAGAATTGCGTGGTTTTCCCTAATAAGGTGTTGTGGCCCTCTCCCTTGCCGTTGTACATAAGCGGCTCATTGTGAATATGCCAATGATATACCGGTAATTATAATAATAAGGCCACCCAGAATTAATTCATTGCCATCGTTTCAGGTCACTTCACTCAACAGTACAAGGGGCGGTTGATTTTTCCATTTGTCATGTCATGCATATAATTATGTCGTGCTATTTTCCGTGGTTAGATTCACCCTACCTTTCTTGTATTGGCTATGTATTATTATGTGCCATGAAGTGGAGACGATAACTAAATAAATAAAAATGTACGCTTATGGTTTCATAGTATGACTATTGTACTCTATGTAGATTGTGGATATGGAAATCAAGACAATCCCGTACAAAAACGAGAGAGCTTGGAAGCTCAGAGCCCTACGCTATGCTTTTTTTGCCCAGCGAGAGTCAACTTTCTCTTTGCATTCCAGGGTAATACGACACCGTCTACCACCTTGATGACCTAGGCAAAAAAAGCATGGGGATGTTATAAATTTTCATTTCTCCTATTTTTTTAAGACATATTTTAAACCTAGGATTCGAACCCGCACTATCGCCCTGCATGCATTCCTCCGATACACTTCGCATACATACTCATTCTTCCAAGTTGCTTCATGATTATGATCTTGCATTTGAAAGCCCTATTTGAATATTGTGGCCAGCTGTCTGTGATACTTCGACTCGTTTTATTCAAAGCTCCACATGCAAGAACCGCTGTCTTTGATGGTACGGTACGGGACAGGTACGGGATAGCGCCAGGCATGCCCATGCTGTCCTTGATGGTACGGTACGGGACAGGTACGGGATAGCGCCAGGCATGCCGATGGCACAAACAAACAAACAAACAAATAAATAAATAAACACCAAATTAAAGCTGTGTGGACCCTGGCTAGCACCAGACGTTACTGAAGTAACGTCTTCTGCATAGCTACGGGAATAAAACTACTATAAGTGCAGGCAAGATTACATAAGCTCCCATGGGAGCTTATGAAATCTTGATGCAAGCTGTTATCCACTGAAGCAGTCAATCAACTCTGACAGTAGACGATCCAGCGCTGTCATTGTCCCATCAGAACCCAATCTTGGCTCCACTGGCAAACGAGTTTGACGAGCATCTCTCATCAAAAAATTGGTCAGTGAGCGACTAGGTGGCAGGGCTGGTGCTGTTTCAGGAACGACTCCGAATCGGAGATGATAGAAGATGAAATGGCAGTCAAACTCCAAGGCAGGCCCCCGTCGTCACCAAGCATCCTATCATTTGGTTCCTTCGGAGGTATATGTCTAGACTGTTGAAAATCGATTACGATCTGCGGGTTCAGGAATGATCTGCTCTAAAATCGAGTGTCCGGGAGTTTTTGACGCGAATGGCCATAACGTCGACAAAAGGTTTCGTCCTGTCCAGCACACCGACGCACACACCGCTGGCATTGTTAGAAGACGTTCTATTCCGTTCATTGCTTCTCTCAGCGATGCTGCATGGAGGGGAAATTGAAAAGCGAGAATGTTTGCAGCCCATGCCTGAGATCCTTACGCCAGTCACGGAAGCATTCCTTGTTCCTTGCTGTTTTTTTGTGCGTAGTGTGTGTGTGTGCACACTGTCATATACACACACCGTAGTGTACATGCACAGTGCCTTGGGACCAACAAAATATTGTGTGATCTGGTGAAAAATTACGGTTGGCCGGGTGACCAGAAGCAACGAATCAATTCTGGGTGGCCTAATAGTCATATAAGCATAACCGCGGCTGAGCAGTCAAAAACTCATATACAGTAGAGTCGCGCGCTGAAGAACGTTGAGCCCAAGAATGTCCAACCTGAAATGCTAAAAACGCTGCAGCTTGAAGTTTTAAGAACAGCGGTGCTGGTTTCCCGGCAGCTTTTGGTATACATATGATCCAGTAAGAATTGTTTCTAAGAACATGCTATAAGAACGCAGCCAGATTGCTGAAAAATAGGAACACCCCAGGCTAACCCCTTGCAAACAACGTTCTTGGGCACGCGACTATTCTACTAGTTTGTATCTCCATGACCACTATGATATTCTCTGCCCCCCCCCCCCCTCCCTCCCCCGCTCCGCTCTCCAACCTTTCAGGTTGAATCATGTAAATGTACAGAAGAGAAGCAAGTATGCAATGCTAACCTTTCCAAGACTTTTCCTGATCCAATGCCCAGCATCGCTTTCTTGTTGCCAGTGATGGCATTGAGAAAATTCTCTGGATTGACATCGCTGCCCTGGTAATCCTTTGGAACACCATGGTAGACATCAGAGCCGTTAGGGTAGTTGATCAGGATACCAGGGGTAGGGTTTTCGCTGTTTTCTGCTATATCATTGTACATGAAGACGATGATGCGCTCGTCGGGGATGCCACGGTTGTGGAGGATCTGATATGCGTGGCAGACATCGGCCTGCACGGTGAGCAGTTGCAATGTACATGCATAACACACGCACATATGCACACACACACACACACACACACACCCACACACACACACACACACACACACACACACACACACACACACACACACACACACACACACACACACACACACACACACACACACACACACACATGCAAACACACACACACATACGCACAAACACACACACACACATACGCGCACACACACTCTCACACAGGCGCATGCACGCACCCACACATACACCCACCCACCCACACACACGCACGCACACATACGCATGCACACACACACAAACACACACAGACACACACAGACACACACACAAACACACACACACACACAAACACACACACACACACACATACACATACACATATACACACATACACAAACATACACACAAACATAACATATTATTGTAATATATGTGTTTATGCTGAGACAGTATATCTACAATACTCACTATTCATATTTCCCGCTCCTTCACCATAGCAATGAGATCCCCTCAAGTATAGAAGAGCGCATGCTCCAGTGGCTCTCTAGTCTTCGTTCTTGTCTTCTTCTCACTCTTGTCTACTCTCTTGTCTAAGTCCAATACTTCTTCCATAATTATTCAACACTATTCAATACTATAAACTCCATGTGTTCTGCAAGTGTGAGGGGACTGCGTTTAGCCGGGAGCCAACACTGGTGGCAGCGGTGGGATTCGAACCCACGCCTCCGAAGGGTTCCTCGGGTGGATGATATTGTTAGGTACCCCCTCCCGTACCTTTTCTAGCTGGCCTGCATGCACTTGCGTACTCACCTTTTGTCTCCTTTTGTTCCGTAGGCCTGGGTAGCTACTTGCGCGTCCATATTTGCCATAGCTACCCAGGCCCTTTATCTTGCCGTTCAGACTTGATCTCACTCTCTCTTTTCTCAATCTTCAATGTAGTCGTTTCGTTCGTCTTGGTCTCTTGTCTCGTCGTCTATAATAAATGTCGTTCCCCTTCTACCTCTTCTTGTCTTGCTTGCCTTGCCTGGTCTTTGTCTTGCTTGCCTGACATTATTCTATACGAACCTCTGACATTCCTTGTCGTTGTCAACTAATACTTGGCCCGATCGTCTAAGCGTGACTGTACCAGTCCTAACATTGGCGCCCAACGTGGGGCTCGAACCCACGACCCTGAGATTAAGAGTCTCATGCTCTACCGACTGCCTGGTCTTTGTCTTGCTTGCCTGACATTATTCTATACGAACCTCTGAGATTCCTTGTCGTTGTCAACTAATACTTGGCCCGATCGTCTAAGCGTGACTGTACCAGTCCTAACAATATGCTAGATTCGTTGTCTGGCTGCAGTTGGTTTTCATCGTTAGATCTCGCGTCTGGGTGTTAGCACTTAGCAGATTGCAATGGATCTTGAAGACCAAGCCAAGACTGCGTTTACGATGCCTTTGGGGCTTTACGAGTTTACATTGCTGCCGATGGGGTGCAGGAATGGTCCTGCCACCTTCCAGCGTGTCATGGAAGCTGTTCTCCGTGGCCTGTGCAATGCAGCTGCTCAGCCTTTTTAGCCGTGTCTTTTTCGACGATGTGCTCCATGCAAGCGGTACGTTATCTGGCCAGTTTTTGATTTTAAAACAGGTATTTGAGCATGTCCGTTCAGCAGGTTTCCGGTTTAATTTGGAGAAATGCTCATTCTTCCGGTCGGAAGTCGCATTCCTTGGACACCGGGTGTTGTCAGACGCCATTGCCCCCGACCCGGACAAGGTTTCGGAGATCCTGGCATGGAAGACGTTAAAGTCAGTCACTGCGGTTAGGTCTTTCTTGGGTTTCGCTGGGTATTACCGCAGATGTATTCGTGGGTTTGCACAGCGGTCGGCTCCACTTACTGCTCTCACCGGAAAGAATGCCCCGGCAGTTCGTGTGGACGAAAGCTTGTGATGCTTCCCTCCGCGCGCTCAAGTCAGCGTTGTCGAGTGTTCCTGTCATGGCATTCCCTGATTTTAGCCCAAATGCCGGTCCCTTCATTCTTGATACGGATGCCAGTAAAGTGTCAATTGGTGGTGTCCTGAGTCAGGCCCAGGACAATGTAGAACTCCCCATTGCGTTTGATGGCTGCATCATGACAAAGGCTGAGCGTAACTATGGCTCCAGTGACCGCGAAGCCCTGGTCCTCGAGTTTTTTGCGAATCACTTTCGGCATTACCTGCTTGGTCACCCGTTCACTGCTCGGACGAACAATACCACGTTGACTGCGTTGCGGGCCACCAAGGAGCCCCTCAGGCGCAAAGCTCGCTGGATTGAGGCTTTGGCCAAATTTGACTTCTCTGTTGTCCACCACCCTGGGTCGCGCATGCTCCTATCGGATACTATGAGTGACTATTGTGCAGTTTACGACAAGCATACAGGCGATACCCACAGTTCATAAAGGCAAGGGTATGCAACTGCCTGTACTACATGCATCTCTATCCAGTGCTGCGAGGGCGGTGGCCGAGTTTCGCATCACGTGACCTGGTTCAGCAGGTTACACAGAGCTGGCGAACAATGCAAAATGACCACCAGAGAGTTGCACCCATGGCAAGGCTGCTTACAGCTGCCCTGTAGCTCCATCAATTCATAGGGTGCAGACTGTGTGTGGATACAGGTCTGTCATGTGATGTGAAGGTCTACGGCCACAGACCCTGTAGACCGGAGTTCAAAAAAAATTATAATTATCTGTTTAATCCGTTATCGGGGAATTGTGTCTTGCTCCCTACATGGGAGCTCGCGCTTTTCCTGTCGAATTGAATTCGCACTTGACTGACTCACGACTGCACTCCAGAGCACGCGAGAAGTCCATCCGTTATCTGTTATCCCTTATCTGTTCTCCGTTTTCCGTTATCTGTTACCAATAAAGAATAATGCTTGGTTTTCAATTTCAAAAGAAATCTTGTACATGTAAGGAAAGTAGGTGCTCCAAACAGCGGAGTTCGCGCATCCTGCGCTTCCTGCCGACTGACTTGACACTTAACTGACTCGCGATTGCGTCTCGAGGACACGAGAAGCCCGTCAAACTTTCCACTCAGCAAACCTGTAAGAAAGCACCACTCCCGGCTCAATATCAGTGTTTCAGGGAATTCACCCCTCATCCCTTGAGGCTAAGCAGGCTAATGAATTTTCTGCTCCAAGAGCACTCCAATATGTAGTGCTTTCTGAGCCAAACTTCACTAGGGATACCAACTTACAGTGACGCTCCATTTCCAGCGCGACTAACACGTCATGAACACCAGGCAGCAGTGTGAGTGACATTTGGAGCAGCCATTTTCTTCATCAATTACCGTTGATGTCGCAACATCTTAGTTCGTACTGCTGTCCCTCACGCGAGAATGCGACTAGATGTTTGGAGGTGACAGCGCTGCGAATGGCTATTGTCCCTGCAGCGTCTGTTCTCACAACTTTATGTGCGCCACTGACTCACGCTGCTGCTTGGTTCTCACGAGGTATTCATCGCGCTGAAACCCGAGCGTCACTAAGTAAATATCCACAGTGATCTTTTGGCTCGGAGAGCACTACATAATAAATGCAATGCTCTTGGAGCACAACATTATTTTCATGAAAGGGGAAGTGCATCGATTTTTCAAGTAGGGCTCAGATGAAGGACAATTTGATATCGGTTCGGATGGCATATCTCTCGCTTGCATAGGATAAGCCAATCTCGCCAAATCGCCAATTGTATGATATACATTGCCATAGCAACCAGCGCAGTGATGAGTTGCGATCGGCTGAGCTCCGCCAGAGAGAAGGTCGATCACTGTAGAATTTTGTCATTTTCAATTGTCTTATTGTATTCACGGTGTGAAAGAAGTGCTATGTTCAATGTTGGCAGAGCCGTGAACTGTTTATTAGTAGTCCTCTCGGTTGTGTACTGGGACGTGACACCGACAGGAGAAAGCTGGGGTGCAGAGACATCAGCAGACAAGTGAAAAAGTGACAAACCGAGTGCAAAAATCTTGGTTGGGACAAATCAAACGTTCAACATTTACCCCAACCAAGGACCACGCCGTTTGCTCTTTCCATTTCCTGAATATAGATGGCATGCTTGCTGGCGACTCTCCTATCTCTCGTTACATCTTCTGAAGCCAGGTGAGACGACGGTGGTGGAGATTGACGAACGACATAATGTCATACTTTTTTGAAAGTTTGCTGAAAATGTCTCTGGAGAGATGGCGAATGCCAAGCATCTTCTCCTAGAGGAATCATTTCCTAGGCTACAGTCAGCCTCGGGAAATGCAGGAGAAGGCCGATAAACAGTTCACGATACTAACAGCATTGAACACAGCACTTCCTTCACGCCGTGAATACAATAAGACAATTGAAAACGACCAAATTCTGTAGTGATCGACCTTCTCTCTGGCGGAGCTAAGCCAATCGTACGTCATCACTGCGCTGGTCGCTATGGCAACGTATATCATACAATTGGTGATTTGGCGAGATTGGCTTATCATATGCAAGCGAGAAATATGCCATTAAACAGATATCAAAATAAATGTCTTTCATTATTCCCCGAAACACTATGACTGTATTGAGCAGGGAGTGGTGCTTTCTTGCAGGTTTGCCGAGTGAACGGTTCGACAGACATCTAGTGTGCTCCAGTCGCAGTCGTCAGTACCGTATTATCTCTAATATAAGCACAGTCTCCAATAATAGCACGTCTCCAATAATAGAACACCTTGGGGCGGCATTCAAAAAATAAAGTGCTCACTCTCCATTATAAGCACACTGTGTAAATTCATTATCTGTACCGGCGAAAAAACCCTGAAAAACCCCGCATGCTCTCATCATCCGCCCTTTATAAAATCGCTCACACAACCCCGTTATCACATGGACGCAGTGCACACCTGGCTTCTCTTGTCCATTCTATTAAGCTTGAGTTGTGCCCACCGCATCTCATGTGTTTTAATTGGTTCTCTTCTCTAAGAACTAGAAACTCGCTCTTACTCCCTAAGTGTAACTCATCCACTCTTTTGCGCTCCCCTCTCTTTATTGCTTACTCTGTTTGGCTCGCTCTACCCAGAGAAGTTAAGGACCTGACCTCACTCCGCCTGTTTAAGATCCGTGCCGCCCCTCATTTACTACGACATGCATAGCTCATTATCCACACGTCCTTTGCGTCTCTGTGTTTTTCACTGTTTTTATTTGACATTATCTTTCTTTACGGAGTTGTTGTTGCTGTTTGTTTTGCTACTCTTTCTTTTTCCCTCCCCTTATTTCTATTTATTGCCGTGGTTGGCAATCACCCACTCTCGTAACATTGGCCGGTGTTTCCGCCGAGTCTTGAGATGTTGCAATAAATAATAATAAATGTGTGTGTCTGACATATAAATTTGGCATGGCAACATGCCTCTAAAATGAGGTTGAAATAATAATGGAACAGTCTCCAATAAAGGAACGTCTCCATTAATAGCACGGGCGGATGTACATTGAAAAACTAAAGAACCGTGCTTATATTAGAGACAATACGGTAAGTCAAGTGTCAGGTCAGTCGGCAGGAAGCGCGAGCTCCGACATTGGGAGCAGCCACTTTCTTCACCAATTACCGCCGATGTCGCAACATCTTAGTTGATCACGTACATGTATATAATATTACCTGAAGCCGAGTGAATATGGGCGAATATTCACTAGTATACAAACCGAGGCGAAGCCGAGGTTTGTAAAACTAGTGAATATTTGCCCATATTCACGAGGCTGAAGGTAATATTAGACTTATACCTCTCCATATTCACCCTCTCGTCCCTAAAACCCAACAAACGAGTCCTGTTGGTCATACATGTACATGTACGCAGAACTAACGTAAGTCGTTGTTGCTTCACTGAGCCTTCAGACCGACCGGCGTGTTCTTGCCTGAATCGGAGGGCGGCGTGTCCAGAATCTTGTTCAATCGATCGTGTACACGTACTGGTGCATGTGGCATGGGAGGTGACGACCTTGGAGAACACGCTCGTGCCAATCACCATGGAGAACACGCTCGTGCAGCTTTGTGGCGGGAGCCAATCATTAGAGAGGTTTCGTTTCACGCGAAGATTTGACCAATCAGAGAGAGGTTTCGTTTCACGCGAAGATTTGACCAATCAGAGAGAGGTTTCGTTTCACGCGAAGATTTGACCAATCCGCGATCATCGCGCCAATTCGGGAGTCGGTTTATAACAGCGAGCCAAGCGGTTTTACCCTCACTTCTTTTCTTTTTAGGCAGCGCTTCGGAGCTGTTGTGTGCCCTAGGAAAATTCTACGCTAACGTCCTTGAACAGGGCTGTTCTGAGTACAAACAAAATTCCTGGCTTGCCGCTTGATCCGCAATCATCGGGCCATTGACATGTTGAGCGTCCAAAACCTTGTTTGCTCCGGCTGGAACGCTCCCTCTGTGAAGATGCTCACTGTCAGCACCTGGTCACATGCGGATCCAGCGGCAATGGCAAGCAAGGAATTTCGCTTGTACTCAGAAAAGTCCTGTCTACGGAAGTTAGCGTAGACATTTTCTAGGGCACTCGACAGCTCCGGTGCGCTGACTGAAGAGGAATCAAGCGCAGCACCGAGTACTGCTATCTTTACAGTACAATGTATCGAAAAGTGGTGAATATAAGTGGTGGATATGAGGCGAATATAAGCGGTGAATATTCAGCATTATACCTCACTCCATATACACTTACAGTCTTAGGCATGCTCTCCCTTAGTGGTGTATATATCTCCATATACACCGCTAAGGGAAATTAGCAGTAGTTGTCGGCGAGGAACAAGCCATTAGGTGGTCACACACGGTGAATATGGAGAGGTATAAATATATTATAACAAAGGGACCTCGTGTATATCGAGATATCTACACCAGTTATAAAAACCTCGGCTTCGCCTCGGTTTTCATACTGGTGTATATATCTCTATATACACTCGGTTCCTTGTTATAATAATACATATTCACCACTTACACACTAGTCACAGAAAAACCCACGCGTCTTGATTGTCGTACGACAATCAAGACGCGTGGTTTTTTCTGTGACTCGTGTGTTACTGCTCTGCTTCCGCATTGAGCACTCTATCGATCCGGAGGACTCCGCTATTTGTTATTCACCACTTATGTAGATGGCCAATTGTATGTGGGTGAATATGGAGTGAGGTATAAGTGCTAGTATTCATACGAATACAGCCCAGGCGATCGGAGCCACTACGAATGTAGGCAGTATCATTTTGCGCGAGGGAAGCGCGGCCATTCGCAAGGACAGAGAGATAACTGAGAAGATTGAACCCAGGCGCGTGCTCGGCGATGGGCACGGGGGGGCACGTGCACCCCCCAAAAATTTTCAATCTGGGTAATTCAACTTGTAATGTATGCAAATATGCTCTAAAATTCAAGAAAGGTTGCAAACAAATTGCAGAAAATTGCCGGGGGGGGGGCTCCCCTCGGCTCCCGTGCACCCCCCTAGTTGGGGGGCCGAGCACGCCCCTGGAACCCCATGGCTTGTCACAGTTGTCCTTACCTGGTGTCTGTAGTTTATATAGCTTTTGGATCCAGCAACCAGCACTGCCCAGTCTTTCCTCTCAGCACCAAGCGAGGATACCGCCGAGGCAACCAGCAAGAGCGCTGAAACCAGATTGAAACTCTTCATCTTCACCACGAAAGAATGGACGCCACACGGGAGAGGAGAGTATTACTGAAGGAGAGTGACAAACAATCAGTTCCAACAATCCAAGACTAGCATTTTCCACAACTCACCGATGACGGGTATGGAAACAACGGATATATAGGGCATGTTTGAGTGCGCGAAGCCGTTGGCCCCCATATCAAGACAAGACTGTCAAGAGTCCATAAACCCTCGGAAACCAGGTCTCTGCGAAGTGCGAGTACCGCAGTGTGGACGAAGTGCGTTCGCGCATGCATGCGCAGATACCAGAGACTCCTTTCACGACTCCCTTGTGTACACAGCTGGCTGCAACGGGTGTACCGGTTCCTTTCTAACCAGGAAGAAATACTGGAGTTGTTTTTTCTTGTTTTAGCAATAAATACGAACAGCTGCTGAGTCCTGGTGAGTCTGGCATTTTTTTCTCTTTTCAGGCAGTTCATTTCCCTGGCTATTATTATTATTATTATTATTATTATTATTATTATTATTATTATTATTATTATTATTATTATTATTATTATTATTATTATTATTATTATTATTATTATTATTATTATTATTATTATTATTATTATTATTATTATTATTATTATTATTATTATTATTATTATTATTATTATTTGAAACTCGGATGTTGAGCCATAAATAAATGTGGAAGAGAAAAGGACATATGGATACGAGTTAAGAGTAACTCTCCATCACTGTAACATGATACTATATACAGTCAGAAAGTGCAATAACTAGGCACAAAACTGACAGAGTACTGAAAGAGTACTGTATATAGTATCATGTTACAGTGATGGAGAGTTACTCTTAACTCGTATCCATATGTCCTTTTCTCTTCCACATTATTATTATTATTATTATTATTATTTTTTTTTTTTTTATTATGTGCAAGCCTCTTTTACGGGCAAAAATTAACACAATGTATTAAAATGCAATACAACATACACTGGAGAAGAAATCAGGAAAATAAAATATGAGCTCAAAAATGGAACGTAAAATAGCAAATAGAATCAAAACTCACGATGGAATCAAACTCACGATGGAATCAAACTCATGATGGAAACTACAAAACCCAATGAGTTGGAAAACCAACCACAGAATTAGATATTGGGAATAGAGTCAGACACAACAACGACCGAAATCAGCACACCAAAAATCTGTCCTACAAAAAAACAAAGGAACAAGAAAAACAAGAAAGACGAAGTACAAAGAATCCCCAAAAAAGAGGGGAGAACGGGATGAAAGAGGACCGGAGAGCGGCAAACCCCAGGAGGACTTATTATTATTATTATTATTATTATTATTATGACGACTTTATTCACAAAGCAGAAAAAGAAAGCTTGAAAGGAGGCATGAAGCACAGCACCGGGATCCATATGACCCAAGGGTGAAGCACCAATCAATGAAGATAAAAGAAAATCCTGAACCAAATTTTGATAAACTTCATGAGAGAAAAATTCAAGTATACCAACTTCGATACTCACATAAAATCACAGTCATGTATAACAGAACTGCTCAAGTAGTAAACACCAAGCATGCTGCACATGGGACACTCCAAGCAAGACAAACTCAGACGAGATAAAACGGCATATGCAGAGAAAGACAATACATGACTGGGGGCATATGGCAAAAATTCACGCCTCTCGGCTCGTCACACAGCACATGATGCACCACAATCATAAAACACACAGACTGAGACACATCGAGACATTACGGGCAGGCTAACATAAGGTCAACCGACCGTTCCGACCATGCCACTCTCCCATCCATGACCAGTCACCGACCGCACAATTCTCAGGGTGCCCAGAATAGCACATTGCTGCAGCCGCTGGATCACGGACGCGTGGAGCCCAAGGCTTAAGATGTGGCTGCGGCTCGTTCCTGACACACCACCCAGAGCACCAATGATAACTGGAACAATAGTTATCTTTTTGTTCCAGATCCTCCTCAGCTCTGCTGCCAAGGGCAGGTATTTGCTGATCTTCTCCTGCACCTTCTCATTGACCCTGTGGTCCAATGGGACACTGACGTCCAAGAGCAGTGCCCGATCATCCAGAACCAGCACCAGGTCTGGTCTGTTCGCTTTTATTACTCGATCTGTGGGAATGGAAATCTCCCACATCAGCTTGCAACTGGCAGAACTTGTGACCTGCACCAGCTGCTTACTGCTGGGTAATCCATGCTGCTTACACAGCGCACGATGCAGGGCCTGGACCACAAAGTTATGCCGGGCAATGTATGCAGTCCGTGCCAGGGCTGGACAGCAGGCGATGATGTGGTCCATATTTTCTCCGGGTGCACCACATACACGACAGAGGTCCACGACATCATGCCTCCTGTGGATATGGCGCATATTGTTTCTCGTGGCAATCACCTGATCCTGGCAAGCAATGAGAAAGCCTTCCGTTTCAGGACGCATCGTCTGGGATCTGAAACAGGAAAACGAGAGCTGCATGTCCAGGATGCCATCAACACGCGCCCAATAGCGACCATGAAGAGGCATCGCTCGAAGTTCACGGCGGCGGTTGTCATTGAGGGCCTGTTTAACAGTCTCTTTGTTAGCGGTGTCCAGGCTCGTCAGGCGAAGGCGCTGCAGGACAGTATTTGCCAGCTTTGGTATTGATTTTCTAGAGGGACGTGATTCATGGTGCTGGAGAACAGCGGCCAGGGCAGGGACATCTTCCCGATCCTTCAGGTACTGAGCGAGCCGGATGCAAGTACGGTCATGGAGATCTACGATGCATACTAGGCCACGACCTCCCTCACTCCGCGGTAGATATAGGCGACGGATTGAGGCACGTGGGTGGTGGGCCCTGCTAGCAGTCAGAGCCTTCCTCACTGTCCTGTCCAGCGAGCGGAGCTCATCCGCAGTCCAAGGAACGACTGTGCCAAGGCCATAGGACACCACTGGCAGAACGTAGGTGTTGATTGCTCTGATGAGGTTTGGTGCACATAGTGAAGCATCCGTGATCAAGCGAAGACGGCGACGGAACTCAGCGATGGCAGATTGTTTAACTTCACCAGCCTCGATTCCCAGGAATTCCCGCAGGCCAAGGTAGAGGTACGCCGCGCCATCTTGCAGAGGATGAATGATCGACTCTGTTAGCAAGGTTGACGAAGGCTCTGCATCCTGGGTTGGCCTAGCGGCCGGGCAGACAATCTTCGAGCACTTAGTGGGAGATAGTTGCATGCCAACCGCCCCACCAACGCACTCCACAATGTTGATCAAGGAGTCCAGTCCAGTACTGCTAGCGGCAAATAGTTTGACGTCATCCATGTACCATAGATGCGACAACAGGGAATCACGCGTGGGTCCACAACGATATCCTATGCCGCTTCTTGCTAATTCGTTTGAGATTGGGTTGAGACCGATGCAGAACAGCAGGGGAGACAGAGAGTCACCCTGGAAGATACCCCGTCGGATGGATATTGGCTCGCTGACCCCGCTGCTAAGGCACAGTTGTGTGCTCCATTGCTCCGACAGCGTTTGGAGTGTGCGGATGATCCTAGGATCGAACTTGTAGATGGTAGCAATTTCCCAGATCCACTCTTGGGAAAGGCTATCGAAGGCCTTTCGGAAGTCTAGCCATGCCATACTGAGGGAGCGCTGGTGGCATTTGGCATCTTCAATAATCATGTTGTTGATCAACAACTGATCTGTGCATCCTCCTCGGCCACGTGCACATCCGACCTGTTCCGGGGCCAGCAGACTGTTAGCGGTGATGTGAGACCACATAAGCTCCGATACTACAGATGTGAAAAGTTTATACATAGAAGGCAGGCAGGTTATAGGTCTCCAGTTCTGGGGTTTCGACAGATCACCTTTCTTCGGTAGGAGTACGGTTGCACCAAGGGAGAACCAGGGCGGTGGCACGACTTCCGAATCCAACAGCTGCTGGAATATGCGAAGCAAGGCAGGATGCAGTGCACTAAACTTCTTCAACCAGAATGGTCTGATGTTGTCTGGCCCAGCAGCACGCCAGTGAAGCATCCTTCCAACTGCCAGTTGGAACAACTCCGGCGTTATGACTGCATCCTCTTGTGGCTGGACATCTTGATAGGCAAGAGCCTCCCGTTCAATCCATCCATGTCTGCTCACCGCAAATGGCTCGGACCAGATGCCTGACCAAAAATCATGCAACGCCCCCATACCAGGCCGCGTCTGGTCACTGCAGTCAGCCTCCTGTGTCCCCAGAGAGCGGTAGAACTGGCGCTCGTTCTCTCTGAATACCTGATTCTGTTGTTTTCTCTTGATGTTATCCTTATACCGTCTGATTCTGGCGGAAAGCGCCAGCAGCTCCATTTTCTTGCTTTCGAGTAGAGCCGCGGCCTCATCACTGCTCTTGACAGGATATCTGGTGAACAATCTTGGGTTTCCAGCTTGGATGAAACTTGTGAGGCGCGACACGTCTTTCCTCACATTCTCAATTTTGCGTTGTATCCGCAACAACCAGCCTGGCGCAGTCTCCCTCCCATGATCACCACCACTCAAACGGCAAGGTGCAACACCAGACACCACCAAGACCAGCACCGCCGCTGCATAGGTGAGCTGATTGGCGAATTCCAAAGACAGAGGTAGGGGTAAACCCGACAGGAACAGTCTCATGCCACCGTTGACCAAGGCAACATTGCTGGAAAGTGCACGGCTAGGGACCTTTCTGGGGACAGTGAGTCTTGGCCGACCTGTCAACTGCAAGCTCTGTACTCCAACTAAAACACCGCTCAGAGGTCTGGCAACGTCACCAGGTGTGGTTATTTTGCGATTGATGCAGAGGTGCCTGATTGACCACTCCAGATCCATACTCAAACCACCAGGGCCCAGAATACCAGATTCACTGAGATTGGTTAGAATGCCTCCAAGCTTATCAGGGTTGGAATTACTACAAGGCGAACAAGGCGTTTCCCTTGTGCAGTGACTTTGCTCTGTTTCAGGCACTCCAACAGCCGGTCCATCCACAGTAGGCGTTGATCCACTGGGAGCAAAGTCGCCCTCCACAGGTGGCTGAGGTCCTGCCAGGCCATAAACAGCCTGTGGACGCACGCAGGCCACTGGACTACCCACAGAGTGTGCATAGACAGATTCAATACATGATGCAT